GGCGCCTACAGTATCCATGTTTCGCTCGCCGCTTGCCATCGTGAAGCACTTCTCAGCCTCTGGCGAGAAAGGCTTAGCTGCTGCATTTCGGCGAGAGGAGAGCTCCGATAACACAGGGTTGGAAAACATGTTCGCTGTCCCCGTGGCCGAATACCGCGACCAGCAAGGCCGAGAAGCGAAGACGCAGGCGTTGATCGACTTCGCGTGGGCCGTTTGGGCTGGCCACTTCGACGAGGACCTCGAGGAGCTGGCCGCCAAAGACCTGCAGGGAGGCGCAGCCGCCTTCCTGTGGCACCGGTATTTCACCGATAGCACCAAGGAGATGGGCGTCAAGTACCGCGCGCTGACCGCTGCTTGCGCGGCGGGTCCCATTTCGACTGGCACTGCCGAGGGCGGGGCCTCTGGCGTGGTCATGGGGGCGTCCGAGCTCGCGGAGGCCGACCAGGAGGACCTCAAGAAAACCAAGGACTTGCTCCTCTCTCTTCGCAGGAAGTCCGTTTCGTTCGTGGCGCTGCCGTCGGTTGGCGGAGCCACTGGCGCGGAACACAGCACCGCCCAGTTGCAGAAACTCTGGGAAGAGATGCGTCTCGGACATAGGTACGCCAGGAAAAAGCAAGACGTCCGAGCATTCGTTGTGTCGGCCGACCTGTTCGCCCCAAACGTGAGCAAGAGCGGGGCGGCGGCGAGCTTGGGCGACCACGTCGCTGTGGATGCGGAGCGTTTCGGGCGGGTGCTTGATTTCGTCTCGCGGAAGCGTTCGGTTCACGATATCGTCATTTTCCTCGACGGGCGGAGCCGGTCGTGCCGCAAACTGCTCGAGGACAAAGAGGAGGGTCTCGCAGCCTCTGGCGCGCACGCTGTGACTGAGTGTTGGTGTGTGTATGTGCAGCCGGGCAAGGCACAGGACCCCAGAGTCCCGGGAAGAGTGACTTGTTTTGCGTGCAACAACAAGGAAGTCGTCATCTGCTCCATCCCGAAAAGAGGCGCCATGAAGGTAGTGCAGCGCGCGGAGTTCAACTTGTGCGGCGAGACCACGAGTTCGTACACGACGTACACGGGCGTGCCTATGCGGCAGTACCGCGAGCTGCCGCGGATGACCCACGACACGAAGGCCTCGATCTTGGGAAACGCAGCCGCTGGCCCGGTGAGAGGGAGGCGCGCGCAGAAAGACATCGAGGCGAACGGGCACCCCTTCTCGCACTTGGAGGTCAAGCCATTGAGCTTTTGGCAGCGGATTTGCGAGCACCATCACATCACGCACATCGTTGACTTCACGGCGGGGTCTGGCGCGTTGGCAATCGCAGCCTCTGGCGCGATGGAGTACGAGGGCGTGGCGGTCAACGAGGTGCACCGGGAGTGGCTCGACGCGACCTTGGACCGATGCGCGCTGTACATGGCGGGGCATGACAAGAATTTCGCCCAGAAGCTCGGCGGCGACGACGGTTTCGCTGAGAAAGTAGAGAAGTACTTCGCGGGAACGATGATGGAGGTGCGGCGCTTGCTCGAGCCAATCGCGGACGAGGTGGACGGGGATGGGGGGAGCTCGGACTCAGCGGAGGAGTAGATCGCAGGCGCGCGATCGCGGGTGGGAAAACGACGCAGCCTCTGGCGCGCCACTGACGCGGCCTGGCCCTGACTCAGGTGTCGAAATTTTGCGCGCGTCGCGACTCCAGTGCGTGAGCAGTTCCGGGGTGACGCCTCTGGCGCGCGAGGAAGCGTGCAAGACCTTCCAGCGCGGCCAAGTTTTGATGGGTAGACCAGTCTCTTGCCCGGAGGCGCAGCTTCATACGCGCCCTTGGACGCGCGCGGCGCTGTTACGCAACAGAGGAAATGTTCCGACCCCGCGCAGACGCAAGCCAATCCATTCAGCGCAGAAGGCCAGGCCGCCCGTCAAACCAGGCCAAACCACCCATAAGTAGACCAGACCCTGTCCACAAGTAGAGCAAAACCCGCCCAAAAGTAGACCATACCACCCATAAGTAGACCAGACCCCGCCCAAAAGTAGATCAGACCACGCCCAAAAGTAGATCAGACCACACACAAGGAGACCAGACCCCGCCCAAAAGGAGATCACACCCCGCCCAAAAGTAGATCAGACCACCCGCAAAGAGACCGGACCCCGTCCAAAAGTAGACCAGACTCGCCAGACAGTAGACCAGACCACCCTTGAGTAGACCAGACCCCGCCTTAAAGTAGGTCAGACCCCGCCCAAAAGTAGATCAGACCACCGACAAGGAGACCAGGCCCCGTCCAAAAGTAGACCAGACCCGCCCAACAGTAGACCAGACCACCCTTGAGTAGACCAGACCCCGCCTTAAAGTAGGTCAGACCACGCCCAGAAGTGCATCAGACCACCCACAAGGACGCCAGACCTCGCCCAAAAGTAGATCAGACCCCGCCCAATAGTAGATCAGACCACCCACAAGGAGACCAGACCCCGTTCGCAAGTAGAGCAGACCCCGCCCAAAAGTAGATCAGACCACCCACTAGTAGACCAAACCCTGTGCCCCAGTAGAGCAGGCCCGCCCAAAAGTACACCAGACCACACGCAAGTAGAGCAGACTCCGCCCAAAGTGCGTCACACCCCGTCCAGAAAGAAAAAGGGCCCGCTTCTGGAAACCAGGGAAGACAGCCCGGGCAGTTTCTGGAAACGAAAAAAGAAAACCAGGCCGTTTATGAAACCGAGAGAAGAAAACCGGGCCGTTTCTGGAAACGAGGAAAGGAAAAGGGCCGTTTCTGAAACCGAGGGAAGAAAACCGGGCCGTTTCTGGAAACGAGAAAACAAAACCGGCCCGTTTCTGGAAACGAGGAAAGGAAAAGGGCCGTTTCTGAAACCGAGGGAAGAAAACCGGGCCGTTTCTGGAAACGAGGAAAGAAAACCGGGCCGTTTCTGGAAACGAGGAAAGAAAAAGGGCCGTTTCTGAAACCGATGGAAGAAAACCGGGCCGTTTCTGGAAACGAAGCAAGAAAACCGGCCCGTTTCTGAAACCCAGGGAAGAAAACCAGACTGCTTCTGGAAACGAAGGAGGAAAGTAGCCCACTAGGCATGCTTTCATTTTCTCATCTCGGTTCTGAAACCGAGGGAAGAAAACATGTTCGGATTTGGCATGTTGGCGAGCATGTTGTGGGCCCTATATGACATGTAGTATAGAGCCCACAACATTCTCGCCAACATGCTAGACCCGAACATATTTTCTTCGCTCGGTTTTGCAACCGAGCGAAGAAAACATGTTCGGATTTCCGACATGTTTTCTTTCTTTGTGTGTGGGGGGGGGGGGACCACAAGTTTTCTTCTGTCGTTTCCAGAAACGGTAGGGTTTTCTTCCCTCGGTTTCAGAAACGGCCCTTTTTCTTTCCTCGTTTCCAGAAACGGCCCGGTTTTCTTTCCTCGTTTCCAGAAACGGCCCGGTTTTCTTCTCTCGGTTTCAGAAACGGCCCTTTTTCTTTCCTCGTTTCCAGAAACGGGCCGGTTTTGTTTTCTCGTTTCCAGAAACGGCCCGGTTTTCTTCCCTCGGTTTCAGAAACGGCCCTTTTTCTTTCCTCGTTTCCAGAAACGGGCCGGTTTTGTTTTCTCGTTTCCAGAAACGGCCCGGTTTTCTTCCCTCGGTTTCAGAAACGGCCTTTTTTCTTTCCTCGTTTCCAGAAACGGCCCGGTTTTCTTTTCGCGTTTCCAGAAACGGCCCGGTTTTCCTTCCTCGTTTCCAGAAACGGCCCGGTTATATTTTATGGTCGGGGTCTGATTTACTTTTGGGAGGGGTCTGGTCAACTTATGTGTGGTCTGGTCTACTTTTGTGCGGGCCTGCTCTACTTGTGGACAAGGTCTGGTCTACTAGTGCGTGGTCTGATCCGCTTCTTGGGCGGGGTCTGATCTACTTTTGGGTGGGGCATGATCTCCTTGCGGGTGGTCCGATCTACTTTTGGGCGGGGTCTGATCTAGTTTTGGGCGGGGTCTGGTCTACATGTGGGTGGTATGATATGCGTCTGGGCGGGTCTGCCCTATTTGTGGACCAGGTCTGGTCTACGTTTGGGTGGTCTGATCTACTTTTGGGCAGGTCTGGTCTACTTTTAGGCGGGGTCTGGTCTCCTTGCGGGTGGTCTGATCTACTTTTGGGCGGTGTCTGATCTACTTGCGGGCGGGATCTTGTCTCCATGTGGGTGGTCTGATCTACTTTTGGGCGAGGTCTGATCTACTTTTTGGGGGGGTCTGGTCTACGTATGGGTGGTCGGGTCTGCTGTTGGGCGGGTCTGCTCTACTTTAGGGCGGGATCTGGTCTCCTTGTGGGTGGTCTGATGTACTTTTGGGCGGGGTCTGATCTACTTTTGGGTGGGGTCTGATCTCCTTGCGGGTGGTTTGATCTGCAATTGGGCGGGTCTGCTCTACTTGTGGACGGGGTCTGGTCTCCTTGTGGGTGGTCTGATGTACTTTTGGGCGGGGTCTGGTCTCCGAGTGGGTGGTCTGATCTACTTTCGGGCGGGGTCTGATCTACTTTTGGGCGGGCCGTGGTCTATTTGCGGGTGGTCTGCTCTGCTTTTGGGCGGGTGTGCTGTACTTGTGGGCAGGGTCTGGTCTACGTATGGGTGGTCGGATTTATTTTTGGACGGGGTCTGGCCTACTTTGACGCGGGGTCTGGTCTCCTTGTGGGTTGTCTGATGTACTTTTGGGCGTGGTCTGATCTACTTTTTTGGGCGGGGTGTGATCTACTTTAGACCATGAATTTCCATGGCGTGTGTTTGTTACATCTTCTTAACTTGTTTGCTTTGCTACGACATGCTATCCCAAACCGTGCTCCGTGATCGTTTGAACGCTGTCCATATGTACGCATTCCCGTGGTATGCCATGCGTTGTTAAGCAATGCTGTGCCACGCCGTGCGCTGCTCTCCGGTGTGGTGCGATGCTATGCTATAGTATGCGACGCCATCCGACGGGATGCCATGCTGTAGCTCTGGTGTTCCCACCCAACAACCTCTCTGTGAGACACATGGTGGTCGTGTGTGAATGTTGTACACAGTACGGCTCTGGCGTACTTCTGGGCAGTGTCTGGACTTGGTGCGAGTGTGCTCTGTGCATTGCATTGCAACGCCTTGCGAACACATGGAACCTTGTGCGATGCGATGATATGCCGTGCTAGGCCACGCGATGCAGTGCTATGCGATCCCATGCTATGGTTCCTGTCGGGCCCTCCCCCCCGGGGTGGCTGGTCGCGTGGGAATGTCGGCGCGGAATCTCAGAGACTTCATAGAGCTGCGCGTGCCAGCCATGCAAGTTTGCGCGCGCCTGGCACGCGGAGGGACGGGGGCAGGGGTGGGGCGGAAAGTGGGAGGAGGAGGAGGTTTTGGACGAGGACGAGGACGAGGACGAAGAGGAGGGAGTGGAAGTGGGAGGAGGAGGAAGGAGTAGTAGAGCAGGAGGGAGTAGAAGACGAGAGGAAGTGGGACGAGGAGGAAGGAGTACAAGAGGTGGGAGAGAACAACCATGGAATATGGGGAGGCGGACCAATCGTCGCCACGGCTGGAGCATGCTGGAGCCACGGAGGCATCGTCGCCACGGCTGCCTTCGCCTCGAAACTCTGGCCAGAGCGTCGCCACGTCGCCAACGTCTCTAGGAGAGCAGTGCGCCCCCGGAGGGCCGTTCGTCGCCACGGCTGGACGCACCTCTGAAAATCGAGGCGGTTGGATCCTGGGAGGGCTCCAGGGAGCGGTTGTGAGTAAGACGGGGAGGAGGAAAAAGAGGCAGGGGGCAGCTGCTCTCCACAGCCGTCTCGGCCCAAGCCGCTCGTGCTGCAAGCGCCTCCAAGCCCTCTCGGCCCAGTCCACAGCCGCTCCAAGCCCTCTCGGCCGGGATGTCGGAGCATCCACTCGCTGGGCCCCAACCTTTGGCGGGAGACTTGACTGAACCCCAGCCTCTGGCGGGAAACTTGCGGGATTGGCGCCGCGGCAATCCTCTCCGAACCAGCGAGACCATTGCCTTTGGCAATACCAGCGCCAAGCCGACCCCCGGCGCACAACGGCCGTGGCACTACTACTCAGTCCAAATGCCTACCGGGGGAAGCCACAAGTGGCTCTTCGTTCCTTTCCTCGTGAGGGCCCCAGCCTCTGGCGGGACACCCCTTCCAATGGGAGCGCCGCAGGAGGCGCAGTTGGAAACCAGAGTGAGGGAGGGCGTTCTGATGGAGCACTACACCAACATCCACCGCCTACGCGCCCTCTTGCTGAGCCACCCGCTCGTCTCCACCGCCACGCCGCACAAGGTGGACAAGGCGCTCGACCCCAAGTGCTTCGACGAGGACGGTTGGGCCTATAAATATCACCAGTCCCCTTGGGACTTGTCAGTGACGCTCGCAGCCTCTGGCGCGAAGTTCACCCTCGGATGGACCACGAACCATATCAAGAAGCCGCTCGCGGCGATGTGGTGGTTGATGCGAGGGAAGGCCGCGACGGCGGATAACCTCGCCCACGCGGAGGCGATATTCTTGGATGTCGCCGAGGCCGCCCGCTCGTGGCCGCTCGGCTTCCCCCCTGAGGAGGGGGGGGCCGGGGCCAGGCGTCGCGCCCCAGCCTCCGGCGTCGCGCCCTCTGCCTCCGGGCCAGGCGAGCTCTTCCTCTGCCGGCGTCGCGCCCCAGCCTCCGGCGGCCACTGCGGCGCCGCCGCCGGCCAGGCCCCTGCCTCCGGCGGCAATTGCGGCGCCGCCGCCGGCCAGGCCCGCGCCTCCGGCGGCAACTGCGGCGCCGCCGACGGCCGGGCCCCAGCCTCTGGCGGGAGACGCGGCGCGGGCGCCGGCCCGCGCCAGCGAGCCCGCGCCGGAGAGGCCGCCGGCCCCCGGCGAGCCCGCGCCGCAGAGCCCGCCAGCCCCCAGCCAGCCCGCGCCGCAGAGCCCTCCGGCCCCGGACACCGCCTGTCCGGTGGAGCCTTTGGCGGGGGCGCCCGCCGCCGCGCCGGGGGCGTCCGCCGACGCCACCAGCGCGGCCTCCGCGCTGCTGCCAGCGGCGAGCGTCGATGCCGGTGCTGCCGCCTGCGACAAGCCTGCGGACAGCGCCCCAGGCGGCGCCGAGCGCCGCGACCACCTCGAGGATTTCCAGCTGGACGAGGCGATGAGGATGTCCGAGCAGGAATCGGCTGAAGTCCGCGATCTCGATTACAGCCCAGATCAGAAGTCGGACCCTCCGTCGGACGAGGAGGAGGAGGGCGTCGAGGCCGACCCAGCGGAGCCGCAGAGCAGGGTGCGTCGCCGCTCGAGGTCGCGAGCGGGGCCCGCGCGCCCGCGCGACCCAGCCTCTGGCGGGGCGGACGGCGAGATCGACCTCACCATGCACGTGTCCGCCAAGAGGCTGCAGCGGCTGACCGAGGACCAGAAGGAGCGGCTTCGCCAGATTGTGCGCACCAGCGATAGGCAGCTGCACTTCGGCGATTACTGGCAGAGCAGGCCGCGGGCGGGGGGTCCTCCTCGGGGGCCAGCGGCGACGGCCAGGGCTCGCGATCAGCATCGGGCGCTGCTCCTCCAGCACCTGCGGGCGTACGCGGACCCGATCCCAGACGCCGCAGAGTTCATCGCGGGAATCCCTTCCAAGAACGCCGGGCGCTGGGGCGTCAACGAGGATGTCGTGAAGGCCATCGCCAGCAGGAAGGTCCACTACATGCATTTGCTGACCCACCAGATGGAGCACGACCGTCTGCTCTTCTGCGAGGAGTGGCCGGACCTCAGCCCAGCCTCTGGCGGGTGGTGGGTGCTCCAGGAAGAGGACTGGCTGCAGCTCAAGCAGGAATGGCGGGGGTTGTCTCCAGCGATGCGAAAGCCCAGTCGACCCCCAGCAACGTCCTCTCCGCCCATCCCCGCTTCCCCCCGCGCGGGAGGGGGGGGGGTCGGCGAACGAGGAGGGAGAGGACGAGGAGGGGGGAGGGGAGGGGAGAGGGGGCCAGGGCGAGGAGGGGGATTGGGGAGAGGGCGGCACCGACGGAGACACCCGTCGCCTCGATTGAGGACTTCCCCGGCGTGCGCGACACGCGCGACTACGTCAAGCACATTTTGACGCTGCACGATGGCGAGGCCAGGCTTGTGCGCACAGAGTGGAAGCCCTTCCCAGCCTCTGGCGGGAGCATCCTTCAACCTGCCTACTGGCATTGCCAATTCGCGCGCAGCTGGGCGACTTATTCGTGGCTCTCCTCACGCAAAGGGCACTTGACCAACGAAGACTTGGAGTTGATCATGACACAGGACGGCGGCGAGACTGGCTTGATGAGGTGGAACCCAGCCTCTGGCGGGAACTGGCAGATCCGCACTGGCCAATTCATCGCGCTGGCCGAACTCTTCTGGTTCGGGAAAGACTGGTGCTCATGCTACGATATCTACCGCGCTTACCTGAGCCTGCCTGTCTGGATCCAGAAGCGCAAGCATCCTGTCTCGCAGAATGCGCCGGGAACCATGAGGCGCAACGCGAAAGCGTTTCACTACCAGGAGACCGGTATGTACGGTTTGCCCACGGCGCCTTGGAAACGCGGGCGGCGGTGAGCACGTGCCCTTGGCGCCTTCGGTGCCGATCCCAGCCTCTGGCGGGAATAGTCTCGCGCCCAGCTCTGGTGCCCGTGTCAGTTTTGGCGGAAGTGCAGATTCCGCGCCCAGCTCTGGTGCCCGTGTCAGTTTTGGCGAGAGTGCAGATTCCGCGCCCGAGCGACGCCGAAAAACGTTTGAAATGAGCTTCCCTCGTCGTCGTCGTCGTCGTCCTCCCCTCCGCCTCCCTGCTGCATTATTCCTCAGTCCCCCCCCCCTGCTCCCGATGCTTACTTATCTTTCTCCCTCGTGAGGGCCAGGGCGCAGCGAAACCCAGCCTCTGGCGGGATGGAGGCTCGACGTCCGGGGAATGCCCCGGGCAACCAGAACAGGACTGCCTGCCCCGTCCTCCGGGGGACTTCGCTCCTGCGTCGCTATCCCGTCCTCTGCCTGCCCCCGGCTCTACTTGTCCCCCTGGAGCCTCTTGGGGGTTCCTGGGGCCTCCTGGGGCTTCCTGAGGCTTCCCAGGAACTCCAGGGGCCTCCCGGGGCCTCCTGCGGCCTCCTGGGGCCGCCCGGGACCTCCTGCGCCCTCCTGCGGCCTCCTGCGGCCTCCGGGGCTTTCCTGGTAAGAACAACGCAGGACACGTGACAAAACAAGGTATACCGAACCAAAAAAAACAAACTCAAAGTAGATCACACCCGCCCAAAAGTAGATGAGACCCGCCCAAAAGTAGGTCAGACCACACGCAAGGAGACCATACCCCGTGGAAAAGTAGATCAGACCCCGCCCAAATGTAGATCAGACCACCCGCAAGGAGACCGCACCCCGTCCAAAAGTACACCAGACCCGCCCAAAAGTAGACCAGACCACCCAAAAGTAGACCAGACCCCGTGGAAAAGTAGATCAGACCCCGCCCAAAAGTAGACCAGACCCCGCCCAAAAGTAGATCAGACCCCGCCCAAAAGTAGATCAGACCGCCCGCAAGGAGACGTGACCCCACCCACAAGTAGATCATACCCCGCCCAGAAGTAGATCAGACCTCCCACAAGGAGACCAGACCCCGCCCAAAAGTAGATCAACCCCCAGCCAAAAGAAGATCGGCCCCTGTCCCCAAGTAGCGCAGACCCGCCCAAATGTAGACCAGACCCCACCCCAAAGTAGATCCAGCCCCGCCCACAAGTAGATCAGACCAGCCGCAAGGAGACCAGACCCCGTCCCAAAGGAGACCAGACCCCGCCCAAAAATAAATCAGACCTCCCACATGTGCACCAGACGCCGCCCAGAAGTGTACCAGCCCCACCCCAGAGGAAATCATACCGCCCATTATGAGGCCAGATATCGTCCCAAAGTAGACCAGTTACCGCCCAGTAGGGCAGATTAAATACACCCAAAGAAAGCACCTGCCCCCGCCCATAATTGTACTACACTGCTCTTCGCAGCATGCAACAAACGCTTGACGCCCCTCTCACTATCCGATTGTGCGTAGCTGCGTGGGCTCGAGCGCGCACTGGTCCAGCCCGCGCTCTTCGTGCGGGCTATCGGCCGCGCGGGGTGACGGAGCGCTCCGCGCGCTCTCGCAGCCTCTGGCGCGATGGGGCTCCGTTGCAAGACGTGCCTTGAGCGCGCCAGAGATGATGGGAGCTGCAAAAACCCGAAGTGCACAGCATACCGCGCTCCAGTGCCGAGAGGGCAGCACTGGAAAATTGCCCGGTTGAGTGGTGCCTTGGGCAAAGCGGCCGACAAAGTAGGCGCATGCGTCGCCGGCGGGTTCATCCTCACTTTGCTACACAGACATGACATACGTGTCGGCGTAGCGAGCGGCGAGTATCTTCGGGCCGCAGCCTCTGGCGCGACTGCAGTGCGCTTGGAGCTTTTAGCGGTGGTCTATCCGTGCTACTGGCGGTGGTCGACGAGCTCACTTCTTGGACACTTGTCAAAGGCATTATCCCGTTTTCAGCACGCGGAGTCCACAGAGCGAGCTGAAATGTTACAGGTCGCGTGGACTTCGATGGAAGCGGACATGAAGGGGCGCCAGGTTCTCGGATACCGTGACGAGCACAAGGTTGAGTTAATGCGCCGCGATGAGAGGAGCAAGCTCGGGAACGCAGCCTCTGGCGCGACTTTTGCGTATCATCCATTCATGAACCCGGCAAGTCGCCGCACTGGTGGACAGGAGTTCGCGCTGTTGCTGCCTGATGTGCGGGATGGCAACCTCCGGGCAGCTTGCGAGGACCTCGCCAAGGTGTTCCACGTGAAACCCACGTTCAGGGACGCGGAGAGCGCCCTGAGGAAGCACGAGATAAAGCTTTGGGCCGGGGCCCACGCCAAATACAATCGAATCAGGTGGTACGGGTGCTGCAAATGCACCCCGCCAGCGGGCTCCCGACCGCGCGTCGGGCCCAAGTGGAGCCCGGCAAGGGTTTCCTTTGTCCCTCTTCTGCGTCGTGCCCCCCCCGCCCCATGTGGCCCCTCTCCCTCCCCCTCGCGTGTCCTCTTCCTCCTCGTTCGCTGCCCGCGTTGACCCTCCCCCCTCCTCCCTCTCCCTCGGTCAAAAGGATCACGCAGGGCCGCCGCCCGCCCGCGCGCGGCACCTGCAGCTGCTTCCGGAACAGGGCTTCGTTTTTGATTCTCTTCTGGGAACCGTAGCGGAACATAGCCGCCCGAACAGATACACCCGCGGCCCCGCGTCAGACGCGGGCCGCGCGGGCAGGTCGGCCCAATCCTTAGGGGGGGCGCCAGATATGAGATATTTGGGCGCGCTTGGCCCCGTCTTCCGTCTGCTGCGTGCCCCCGACGCAGTAATCCGGTAATCCTGTAGTCCCCCCCTCGCCCTCCCCCGCAAAGCGGATTGTTGTATTCCTGTCGTGTTCCCAAGGTTCATACGGTGGTTGTTCGAGGCGGAGGGCCTGGACGTGCCTGTCGACGAGGAAGATTGGCCCCTGCTCGCTGGCATGGGGTCCGGGGCCGAAGAGGGTTTGGACGACGCGGGAATTGATTCCTACGAATCGGCTGAGGTGGCCCGCGCAGCCTTGGCCGCTGTACTCGCAGCCCCTGGCGCGACGTCTCCGCAAGATGGCGTTGGTGCACCTCCCGAGTATATTTACGGACTCGACGACTTGGTTTGCTTCCTGTGCTTGTCCACAAACAAAGAAGCTGTTGCCCGCAAGGTGTTACCGCCGCCAGCGCTCCCGGTGTCCGTCGTTGAGGATTTGGGGATGGCTGCCCCCGTCGCAGCCTCTGGCGCGACAGCGTGCCCTGGCGAGACTCGTTGTTATGCGAGAATCACAACGAAAGCCACCGCGAAGCCAGCCATCGTCTCCATCTTGGCGTGGGTGTTCCAAGACATTTTGCGATGGGTGCGCGCGCCCGCCGCGGGGGCACTGTGTCAATGTTGCCGAGCTTGGCGCGCTGGAGGCTTATTTCTGGCTTGCGCGCTGTCTGAGAGGAGGCGGTGCGTCGCAGACTCTGTCGCGAGCATCTTGTCCTTCGATGCGAAACCCGCCCAGGCATTGCTTCAAGCAGGGGCTTCGAGGAGTGATATTCTCCGCGCCTGGGCGCGCGCGTGGGACTTGCTCGACGGGCTCCCCCCGCGTGCCTGTTTGGGCTTCGACGAACGATTGTTGTCCATGGCACTAGTCCGCATGGGCGTCAAGGAACACCTTCGGGGTGACGCGAAGGACGCGGTTGCCCAGATGTTCTTGGACGCAGGCGGGGAGCATTCGCTTGCGAGGGAAGCGTCGTTCGCAGAGGTGGAGAAAGGGCAGCTTGCAGAGATCGAGTGCCATGTGTTGATGTTGGCGCACAGCGATTCTGGCCTCTGGCGATAATTCGCAGCCTCTGGCGCGAACCAGCATGGGGGGCGGCCGTTGGGGCGGCTGCTGGGGGGCGATCAGCATTGCCTGATCATGTCTGCTGCAATTGCGCGGGCTCGAGCAGCGGCGGCATGTGTAGGGCCGCTTTCAAGAGCTGGGCGTCGGCAAACGCAGCGCATGCTCGAACCTGCCAGGGAAAACTGAACCCGGTCAGTTTCTCACAGTGCTTGTTTCTTGCGTCGCACTTCTGCTGGATACGTTTATCGGAGACGGAGCGAGAAGCCATTTCTGCTATTATTATTACAACTATCACCACCACAATTACTACTAGTAGTACAATTGTTTCCGCTTCGCGAATCCCCGCCAGTCCATTCAGAAGCCCTTCCCATGAGAGCTGACGGGCAATGGAAAAAAGAAACACATATAGTGAAACAGAGCGGACAAGGAGAGGAGGGGGAGGAGGGTGTCGAGCCATCTTGGAGGCTATCTTGGAACACAGGAGGCTTTCTTGGAGCTATGGGGCACTTTTGGGGGTCTCAGGGATCTCTCGGCCCTCTTTTGGGGCATCTTGGGGCCCCCTTGGGGCTCTATGGGTCCTCTTGGGGCTCTTTTGGGGCATCTTGGGGCCCTCTTGGGTTTTTTTTTTTTTTTGGGGGGGGGGGTCTTGGGGTCCTCTCGGGGCTCTTTTGGGGCATCTTGGGGCCCTCTTGGGGCTCTTTAGGGGTCTTGGGGCCCTCTTGGGGCTCTTTTGGGGCGTCTTGGGGCGGCGCTCCTGGGGCCTCCTTGGGGCTCTCTTGGGCCTCTCTTGGGGCCTTCTTGGGGGCTATGGAGCGCCTCCTGGGGCCATCTTGGAGGCCATCGATCAAAAAGGAGGGGGGTCCCCGATTTGTCTCCCCCCTTGGGGGGCCACCGGAATCGCATCTTGGGGCGCTCTTGGGGCCCTCTTGGGCCGCTCTTGGGCGCTCTTGGGGCCGTCTGAGGGCCTCTTGGGCCGCTCTTGGAGCTCTCTTGGGCCATATTGGCGCCATCTTGAGGCCTCAAAAGCGCAGCGGAGGCGACAGGGCGAGAAGGCAAACATCATTGATTTTCTTCAGGTGTTTGAAGGAAATTGCTTTCTCGGGGAGGTCCTGACGGGTCTCCAAAAAAAAGCACCTGGGACCGTCTTGTGGTCCTCTTGGGGCCTCTTGGAGGCATGTTGTTAGCTATCTTGGGCCATGTTGGGCTGTCTCGACCGATATTGAAGGCCATCTTGGGCTCTCTGAGGCCCTCTTGGGGCCATCTTGGGCCGAAAAGGACCCCCTGACACATCGCGACCGCCCCCGTCCAAGTCCAGGGGAGGGGGTATGGGGGAGGGGTAAACCCCTCCCGAAGGGGAAAAGGGGGTTTTGGAAGAGGGAATAAAGATCTCGTTAGACCGCCTGTCGCCCAAAGGGATGGCGGGATTTCGAGTCCCAGCATTACTATCATGATTATTGTTTCTGCTATCAAATTTCACTGATCAAATGGTGACGCTATTGGCGTTTATACGATCACAAATGCATCCCCTACACCTCTATCATCCGCGCCGCTACTGCGATTGCAGCTACTACAATTATTACGGCGGCGACGGCGACGGTGACGGCGACGACGACGGCGGCGCCGATGCTTATTGTGATGATTTTGGCCTTGGTGGACCGGTCAGCATGGGGCCTCGAGGAGTACGTTGAGGCGTCTGCCCGCCCGCAATTGTCAAGCAGATGGTCCGTGTGCACCATTCCCAGAGGCCCCAGGAAGGACACGACCCCCGCAGCAGTGGACGTGGACACGTTCTGGCGGCACACGTAGGCAGTAGTCGGCACGCGATTTACCGATCCCGGCAGTGGGCACGCATGTGATGCCTGCAATCTAGGCCGCGTGCCACTGGGCATACGAACATGCGTACGAACACACACACACACATCTGACAACTGGAACCCATGACTGCCTAATGTACCCATACGTGACATGTTGGGCAGACTGCCTCCTCTCAACTGATCAGCTCCCACAAACGGAAGCCTCGCGCGAGGTTGCGGCTTCCACAAGCGTAAGTCTCGCGCGAGGTGGCCCCCACTCGGCCGTGCGAGGTGGTTCCGAGTCTTTCCCTTTGTTGTTGTCGCACCCCTCATTTCCCCTTCTCCGCCTTCCCCTGGTCCTGTTCCTCCCGCTCCTTCCATTCCAGTTGCTGCTGCTGCTGCGGCTGCTGTTCGTGCTAGTCCTTTTCCTCACGGTCTTTCTCCTACTCATCTGCCATCCCCTCCTCCTGTGCACGCGACCCCCTATTTTCCGATTGCGCATAACGCGATGTGGTATTTTCGCTGGAGTTGCAGGTCGGCTAAGACACGTGTCCTCGGATATAGAAAAGTCAGCGCAATGGGAAGGGATGGGAGGCAGGGATATGATGACAGATGAGGCGCGAGCGCACTTAGCTTGTCCCTCCCCCTCTCCCTCTTCCATCGTCACTCCTCCTCCCACTCTTTCTCCCTCTTCCTGCCTTTTCCTCCTATCCGCCCTCCCTCCTCCCTCCTCCTCCCCGGTAGAGAGCGCGGTGTGCGCAGAGGTGCCGCGGCACCGCGACGGCGCGACCGCGACCTCCGACTGGCGCCGCGAGTATGGCACGCCGGCAGGGCGCTCGGACCCAGGAAGACTCGAGGAGGTGAGGGGGTGGGTCGAGGCATGACCAAGGGGCAGGATAGCTTATCCCCCCCTCACAGGGGGGGGATGGCCTATCCTACTCTGCACTGGCAGAGTAGGATAGGCCATCCTGATTACCCCCCTCGGCGACGGGGCGGAAATCCTGCGCTGGCAGCAGATTTCGTACCCCCCCCTTTAGGGGAGGGGTTGCGAAATCTGCTGCCAGTGCAGCTGGTTTCCGCCCCGCCGCTGGGCCCACCATTCCGCGATGCATATATATATATATATAATATATATATATATATATATATATATATTATATATATATATATAAACAAATAGATACATTCAAATAAATTCGAAAGAATTCCACAGCGATCCCAGAGGGCCCCGAAAGCGTCCAGAAGGTAGGTCCCCAAGGCAGCCCACGATGCCCCGAGGATAGCCCAAGATACCTGTAAGACGGCCTCAGGGAGGCCCAAAAGGGCCCCAAGACGGCCCGAGAGCGCCCCAAGATGAACCAGCATTGCCTCGAGACGTTCAGCGAGGCCCTCAAGACGCCCCAAGCCGCCCGCAAGAGGACCCGCAAGAGGCAAACATCGTCCCATTCCCTTTCGTAAAACGTGCATTTCTCACGTATTCATTGTTCGACATCACCAGCGCTTACGACGGCACAAGAGACTTCCAAGAATGCCCCAAGACGGCCCAAGAGTCCCCCAAGAGAGTCCCAAGACGGCCCCAGTGGGGGCCCCGAAAACGACCAACGATACGTCCAAGACTGCTTCAGGCAGGCCCCAAAGGGCCCCAAGACGGCCCGAGAGCGCCTCTAGATGAACCAGGATTGCTTCGAGGCCCTCAAGACACCCCAAGTTGCCCGCAAGATGGCCCCCAGAGGCCCCCAAGACGGCCCAAGCCCGCCAAGACGGCCCAAGAGCAACGGGCAAGCAGCAAAGACCCCCACAGACGTCCCCAATACATTCCAGACGGCTCCCTGACGAAAGACACCCCACAAGGCAGCCCAGGATATCCCCCATAGAGTCCCAAAGAGGCCCCCAAGACGCTCCAGACGGCTCTCAGACGGGTCCCCCAGATAGGCCGTAAATACCAACGCCTCAACGTGGCGCGCGCCACCGTGGTTCGACTCGCACAACTCCGTGGATTTACTCCACGGGTTCACACTAGTATACATATACATATAAAGACATGTGTGAATGTATATATATATATATATATATATATATATACCTGGGCGCCTTTTCCGGCGCCAAGGGGCGCCATGAGAGCCAGCCAGTTTTGCGTGAGCCGATTCTCTACCCCAGCTTCTTCTTTGCTATCCTCCCCTCTCGCCCCCCCCGAGGGGGGAGGGGCCGGCCCAGAACCCCAACGCATGCACAACACCTCGTCGTCTTGTCGGCGCCAGGGGGCCCTCCTCTGGGCCTCCCGGCCCCGAGGAGGTGAGCGGGAGGGGCAGGACTGGACTTCCAGCGTGTTGGCAAAAGCAAGGCTCGGGCGGGGCTAGGGTCAAGTCGGGCATGCCCCTCTACAGGAGGGATAGTCAAGAAATCATTCAGGGACGATTTCCAACTATTGTGGAATATGTTCTGGCAATTCTTCATTTTCTTACAAAATCCGCGTGTAGGAGGACATGCCCGACCTAGGGCTAGGACAATAATGAATATGTTCTGGAGCGTTCCGGAACGCTCTGAGAGGGCCGCGGCGCCCGAGATATCCTCCACAGCCGCCAGAGAGGCTCGATGTATCCTCACCCGAATGAATCCTTGTCCTGGCTTCGTCTTCAAGGCATAGACTTTCCGTCGTTTTCGGTGTCAGGGGGGCCCTGGCGGGGGCCCCGGGCCCCGAAGAGGTGAGCGGGAGGCGAGAAGCGCCAGGCCCGGACCTCCTCGCGCCGCGACAAAAGTCGCGGCGGAGGGCCTGCCGCCGTGCTTCGGCCCCTGGAGGCCCTCGCCGGGCCCTGCAGGCCGTCTAGCAACGGTAGGGGAGCAGTCCCAGGCATGCGCCGTTGCTGGAGCATCTGGGGACGATCGAGGAGGCAGGGCAGGGAGGGTGAGGAGCTCGGGCACGACGAGGACAGCACAACCCACCCCCCACGCGCGGCGAGGACCCCCACTCGCGAGGGAGAAGGAGGAGGTGGAGGAAGATGAGAAGGGGGGAGGCGGAGGAGTTCCTCGCCGAGTCTCTCTGTCGCTCTCGTCGGCTCTCGGAGGCCCCCCTGGCCTCGGCATTGCCCGCCTGCAGCGGCGGTCCGCCGAGCTGCGGATCGTCCCAGCCGTCCGCCGGAGGCCCGAGGGTTGACCCGAGGGCGTGGCCTCCTCGCGTCGAGCACGGCGGAGGGTTGCGTTGGCCATCCTCGGCCTCCCATGGGGGGAGGGCCTTCCTCGGGCCCAGGGGCCGTCGGGGGGCTGCTCGGGGCGAGAGGCCGGTCCCTGGGAAAGGGGCCCAGACTCCAGACTTGGAGCCACGCCGTGAAGAAGCACGGCGTCGGCTGTCTGGGGAAGGAGACGACCATGTCGTCGTCGTCGTCGTCGTCGTCGTCGTCGTCGTCGTCGTTGCCTTCCTCCTCTTCTTCTCTCCTCCCTCGTCTTTTCGTTCGCTCCACGCACGATAATGGTACTATAGGCTTGGACAAGGTAATCTTCCGCCTTGCTCCTCTTCCCTCGCTTTTCCCCCCCGACCATGCTCCGCTTTCTTCTTCCCCCCATTCCTCCTCTCTCCTCCTGCTCTTCCGCCTCGCTCATCTGCGTATCGCGCATCTTCCCTGCTCGCCGGTCTCCGCCGCGATACACCTGGTGGCCGGCCAGGCCTTGGCTCAGATGCCAGCAGTGTACGTACACGTGCGACATATGTGTTTGTTGGCGCTGCGTTTGAACGCGGTCACTCGTGCACGTAGACGTACGCGTATTGTAAATTGTGCACGTGCGCGCGCGTGCCCGTACATAAACCCGTACACGCGCGATTGAACGCTGACATTCGTGTACGGACATTCGTGCGGTCTGCGTTTGACCGCGGAGATTGGACGCGTTCTTTATATATGTTTTCGCCTGCTCGCCGTGAGCGCAAGGCGAGCAAGCGATAGCCAGAGGTCGGGCCCACTACGGGCAGGCAGAAGCACGTGCAGGAGGCAGAGGCAGAGAAATCTGGGAGGGCAGTCCGAACCCCCGACGAGGGGCGCTGCCAGGCCTCCCAGCCGGGGGAAGGAGAAGTGACACCACCACCAGCAACAGGGGGGCCACCTCCAGCAAGGAGGTCCACGACGATGCCTCCCCGAGCTGGGGGTAGGGAATGTCTCCAGCGAGAGGGGGAGACCGCACCACCAGGGGGGCCCACCCTGGCTCCTCCCGCTGGTTGTCCCTGGTGGTGGTGTAGCGAGCAGGAGGAGGAGGAGGAGGAGGAGGAGGAGGAGGAGGAGGAGGAGGAGGAGGAGGAGGAGGAGGGGGAGGAGGAGAAGGAGGAGGGGGAGGAGGAGGACGAAGAAGGAGTAGAGGTATGGGTACCTTTCCTGCTCTGAGGAGGGAGGGAGAACGACCGCCAGTTTCCCTGTTTTCCTATCCCGGGGGCGGAGGCTGGCCCAGGCCGGCCGTGGATGGAGCAACGGCGAGCTGCGGCGTGGGGGCCTTTCACAGACATCGGGCGTCCTGCACAGCCAGAGAACGGGACAGCCCTTCCTTGCGCAGCGTGGCCCTGCACGGCCCTTCCTGGCGCAGCCCTTCCTTACGCAGCCCTTCCCTGCGCAGGCCCTTCCCTATGCGGCGCGGCCCGGCATGGCCCGACCCCTTCCCGGGGGCCGGCTTCGCGCGCCAGGGGCGTTCTGTGACGGACGGCCTTTGGGCTCGGTGAGGGCCCCTTAGAGGCCGAGAGTTCCTCCCCTCCTCCTCCTCCTCCTCCTCCTCCTCCTCCTCCTCCTCCTCCTGCTCCTCCTGCTCCTCCTCCTCCTCCTTCTCCTCCCTCCTCCTCATTCTCCCGCCTCTCCTCCCCCTCCTCCTCCTCCTCCCTCCTCCCCCTCCTCCTCCTTCCCCTCCTCCTCCTCCTCCTCCTCCTCCTCCTCCCCCTCCTCCTCCTCCTCCTCCTCCTTCTCCTCCCCCTCCTCCGCGCCTTTGTCTCCACGGCGCGAGGCTGTCAGGGATTGCGGGCCGCGCCAGCCCTTCGGGAGTGCGGCTGCGCCAGCAGAACCGCGCCCTCCTACTCATCCTTTTTCCCCTCCTCGTCCTCCTCGTCCCCCTCATCCTCCTCCTCCTCCTCGTCCTCCTCCTCCTCCTCCTCCTCCTCCTCCTCCTCCTCCCACTCCTCCTTCTGCTCCCCATACTGCGACCATACTGCGTCAATGTCTCCCGCCCCAGCCATCCCCTCTCTCTCTCTCTCTCTCTCTCCGACCCGCCGGCTCCAGGCAGCGCGGCATTGGCCCGGGAGTGCGCTCCTCGCAAGACCCTCGGCCGGCCAACAGCAGTTCTCCCTCCCCTCCGATCCCCCGCCTCTCCTCCGCGCTCCCTTCTCCCGGCGTCCCCAGTGTCTAGCTCCCTTCCCCTTCTCCCGCCTTCGGCTAAGGAGTCGCGCCCGGCGAAGCAGGAGTGGCGGGCCGTCCCTGCGTTCGCCCTGCACCGTTCTGTAGATTGTCGGAGCTGTTCCCGCCTCTGCGGGTGGCCACTGTGCTCTGTTTGTGTAAGCCGCGCATGCACGAGTTGATGCGACAGTGGCGGCAGCGCCATCACATGATGCAGCAGCAACAATAATAATTTTCAGATTGTTCACCCTTGTCTGTCGCATGCCACTCATTCATCACGTATATCCCAAACTCTCGATACCCGTCCTCTTCGTCTTCGAGCGCACCCTTTGACGGGCAGATATGTTTTGAACCTGCAACGTATTTCGTGCAGCCCCGGATGGAAGGAAGGAACAAGGGGGAGGGAAGCGATGGAACAAGAGAGAGAGAGAGAGTAGCAGACGGGGGCCATGAGCAACACATCGGGCGGTAGGATCCTGACGGGCGGGTCGGGAAGGCGGGCCCAGACGGCGAGGTCGAGCAGGAGGGTTGTAGAAGCGTGCGTTCTGCATGAATCGCGAGGAAGGCTCGAGCGAAAGCGCGATTCCCAAATAACTCGTGAGGAAATCCAAAGCGAGAGCGTGGTTCCTGAGTGTCGAGGGTGCGGCGTCTGAAGCAACTCACAGGAAGTCTCACGCGAGAGCGCGATTCCTACATCAATCGTCACGAAGCTCCGCGCAAGAGCGCGACTGGGGAACAAGTGGCACGCGTGCCGTGGTTCTTGCACAAGGGAGGGGGAAGGACAAGGAGGAGGAGGAGGAAAGGAGGAGGAGGAAAGGAGGAGGAGGAGGCGGAGCAAGATGCAGACGATGAAGACGACAATGGAGACGAAGGCGAATAATGATAATAAGAACCATACTAGTGGGAAGAAGCGTAATCATAGTAGATAGAAAAATAATAAGAGGAACATATATAATAGTAACACGCATACTTCTATGAGGATAAGAAGAATAGCAATACTGATAAGACTAATTATCGTACGAATAGGAAGAATAATAAGAAGAAGAGGAGAGAGAAGGGGACGAGACATCGGAGAATAGTCGGGGGGGCGGGACGGCGGGGGCGGTGCGACTCCGAAATAAAGAGGTCGGGGCGGAGGGAGGCGGGGTGCACTTGGCGGGTGGGGAGGGGGGCAGGGTCGTGGGCGCGGGACGGTGGGGGCAGTGCGACGCCGAAATACAGTAGTCGGGGCGGAGGGGGGCGAGGTAGAAACGGCATTGGACGGGGGACAGTGCAAGGCCGAAAAAGTGATCGGCGCACATTCCCCCCCCCTCCCCAGCAAGGCTGGGGAGGGGGGAAGGGTCGGGGGGGGCGGGACGGTGGGGGCGGTGCGACGTCGAAATACAGTGGTCGGGGGAGAGAGGAGCAGGGTGCAGAGGCAACTGGACGGGGGGCGGTGCCACGCTGCTGGTGGTAGTGGTTGGTGTGGGTGGGTGGGTGGAGGGGCGGGAGGGGTGGGGCGGTGGTGGGGGCGGTGCGACGCCGAACTAAAGTGGTCGAGGCGGGGGGGGGCGGGGTACAGAGGGCACTAGGCGTTGGGGAGGGGGGAAAGGTGGAGGAACTGCGAGCACTTCCGAGAGGCGATGGCTTACAAGCCTAGCGCACACTACCTCCAAACCTGCAAGCGTGTGCACTGCTAGGCCTCCCCCACATCCTCCTCTGTCCCCCCAGGCATCTGGCGAGCTCCCCCCGAACCTCCGCCTGCTCCCCAGACAGCCGACGCCTGTTATTTTTCCACAACCCGGTTCCCCAGAAGTCTGGAGTCGTTTTCCATCTTGATCCGTGGACCGGTGGAGGGAGGAGGAGGAGGAGGAGGAGGAGGAGGAGGAGGAGGAGGAAGGAGGGGGAGGAGGAGGGAGGAGGGAGGAGGGAGGAGGGAGAGAGAGAGAGAGGGAGGAGGAGGAGGAGGAGGAGGAGGAGGAGGAGGAGGAGGAGGAGGAGGAGGAGGAGGAGAAGGCCAAAGCCCGGGGGTCCCCCATTGTGGCGGGGGTGGGGACCCACTCGGGTGCCCCCGGGCCAGTGCAGGAGGAGGAGGAGGAGGAGGAGGAGGAGGAAGGGGGGGAGGGGGAGGAGGACAAGCTAGGTGCGCTCGCGTCATATCTGACATCCTACCCCTCCCTCCGAACCCTTACCATGGCGTAGATCCCCTCTCTACTCGCACAGTCGGATGTCGAGCAGGGCAATGATCCCGAATGGGTACGCGATGCATTGTAGAGCACGGCATGGCATGGCGTAGAAGAGCACCGCAAAGCGTAGTATCAACCTAGCATTGCATTGCATGCCGTGGCATGGCACGGGAAATGACGCCAGCATTGCAGCGGGAGCACGAGTCCGAACGAGCGGAAGCGCGGAAATGAGACCAGCGCTGCAGGAGCACGATTCGGGACGAGCGGAAGCACGGAAGTGAGGCCAGCGCTGCAGCGGGAGCACGATTCGGAACGAGCTGGGCCCGAAAATGAGGCCAGCGCCTCAGCGAGAGCAGCATTTTGGAACAAAATGCAGGCGAAAACCTAACTCCGAGGAATCCCGTGTGTAAAAAACACTACGCAGGGGGGGGCTAATATTTTCAAACCGTCATCAGGGGAAGAGGGACAGTAGTATTCATATTGGGTAATTGTAGAGGAGGAGAAGAGGAGGAGGAGAAGAGGAGGAGGAGGAGGAGAAGGAGGAGGAGAAGGAGGAGGAGGAGGAGGACGGGGGGGTTTGAGTCTGAATGAAAGCGGTCCATCCTGAGTCGTTTTCCGACGGTCCAGGGGCCTGGAGTTCAGGGCGAGTCCAGCCGTGGCGACGAGAAGGCCAGGGAAAGTCCAGAAGCATCCACAAAAGCTCGAACCTCGATCCTCGAGTTTTCTGGACTCGGGGGCGAGATGCGTTCTGACCAGGAGTTTTTAGGGGACTCCAGCCGTTCCGACACGGAACCTGCAAGAGGCTCACAACGAGGCGAATCACGTGTGAAATCCTCCACCTTGTACGCTCGAAGCTCGATCCTCGATCAAAAACCCTCGAATGGCCCATCAGGGCCCGTGACGACCCGATCGATCAGATTCGATGTGGAATCCGGCCAGCTCGATCATATTCGATTCCGATAGTCCCGCGATCCGATGCGGTCTTATGCTTGCATAGCGCCGTTGAGCATCTTGGCGCATCCTATCCGACAAGGTTTCGACTTCGTGCCGATGCAGGCCCGTCCGACGCACTTTCCGATCACATCCAATTGTTTGATTGGAAGTTGTTTGATGTTGGTTTTATGTCTTTTGATTTTGCCCAGGAGGAGAAGACAGGAGGGGATACGAGTTGGAGGAGGAGGAGGAGAAGGAGAGAGGAGAGAGGAAAGAGGAGGAGAAAGATCCGGAGAGCAGAAAGAGGGGGAGAGGAGGAAGAGCAGGACGAATAGAAAGGAGGAGGACGAAGAGGAGGAGGTCGAGGAGAAGCAGGAGGAAGAGGAGGAGGAGGAGGAGGAGGAGGAGGATAAGGAGGAGAGAGGAGGGGGAGATGGAGGAGAAAGAGGAGGAGGAGGAGGAGGAGGAGGAGGAGGAGGAGGAGGAGAAGGTGGAGGACGAGGAGGAGGACGAGGAGGAGAGAGGAGGAGAGAGGAGAGAAGCAAGCTAGGTGCGCAAACGTCATATCTGACGTCGTACTCCTCCCTCCCATTCCTCATCACTGCGTAGATATCCGTTCTATTCGCGCAGCCGGATGTCGAACCAGAAATGACCTATGGTAAACCCAATGATGTTGGCTTCCTCGCCGAGGCCGTTTTGGACGCTCCAATGGGTCGCGGCACCGCCCGTCCAGGTCCAGGGGAGGGGGGATGGGGGAGGGGTCAAGCTACCCACCCGCCCGCAAGCTGTCTAGCTGACTCCCACCCGCCCTCCCAAAACATAAGTAACACCCGAGTGAGCATGTTCAGCGGTCGTCTTTGGATGGACAGCTACTGGGAACCAAAGCCGACCCCAGGTGCGCGACGCTTGGGCGAGGTGCGCCACGCGTGCCAGGGGCGCCACGCGCGCCAGGCACCCCTGGGGCCCGAGCGTGCCAGGCACGCCTAGTGCGCCAAATGCGCCGCGTGCTCCGAGTGTGCCATGTGTGCCGCACACTCCAGCCGCGCCAGGTGCGCCACGTTCGGGGCACGTGCAGAGTGCGTCAGGTGCGCCTTCGCACGTGACAGCACACATCGGGAAACAGTCGGCCCCCACTATCCTTGTCGGACACCAATGCCCATCATTGTGTCCAGTGGGCCTGCGTACAGCAGGCCACGCGCCACCACCCCCGCGGTCCCTGTTAAAAGCCATTTGACAGTGATCGCGGGATGGCCGCGCATGATCCAGATTTAGCCGCGAGGTGCATGTTGTATTGTTTTGTGTCAGGGATGGTAGCCCTGCGCGCAGCGGGGATTATATTGACACCCCCTCCGTCCCTGACAAAAACAAGACAAAGTACTCGCGGGCCTCACGAACATGACTCAAGACTTTGCCCCGAAGTGTATTTTGTATTGTTTTATGACGGATGGTGGTGGTGGGGGCCGCATCGGGTTGGCAGCGCATGTTCCAAATGTGGAGGCAGAGTGTGGTTGGTATTGTTTTTGACAAGGATTGTGGTGGGGGGGGTCGGTCGTCATGGTGTCCTCATGGTTCCTGATTGGACGCAGGTCGCCTGGGGGAGAGGATGTAAATTAACAAGGAACAGTGATAAGCCCCTCCCCGAAAGGGAAGAGTAGAAGAGGAAATTCCCTAAACCACCTGCGCCCTGAATGCTCGTGGGATTCGGCGGCATCCTGCGTGTTAAAACCAATGCGCGGAGGAGGCCAGGACACCTCACCGGCGGAGAAGAGAGGACAGTAGTATTCATTTTGTGTAATTGTAGAGAGAAGGAAGAGGAGGAGGAGGAGGAGGAAGGAGGAAGGAGGAAGGAGAAAGGAGGATGGAGGCAGGAGGAAGGAGGAAGGAGGAGGGAGGTTCGGCCCACCGAGGGGGCGCGGTCGTGGCGACACGACACGCCGCGGCCCTTCAGGACCGACACTACCCACTCAGAGGAAGAAGACGACCGCCACGGTCTGCAGCGCCACCTCGATGCCGAAACCCTCGAACTCTGAACGGAGTGCAGGCCATGCAGGACGCCTTCCGTTGAAATACCAATCCACCAGCCTGAGCATTCGAGCACCACCCTGGGAGCACCGAAGCAAAAACCGTGAGGACGAGCTTCAACAACACAACCACAAATTCTGCCTTGCTTGCCCCATGGGCCTGGGCCAGGCTAGCCAATATGGATACATAATGCAAGCTTGCTTGAAAATCACTCCCACCAGCCAACGTAAACGGCCACCGCACTGAGAGCACCAATCACTATAGTTGTGGACGAATCGCGAAAGCCTTGCCCCCCAGGCACAATAGAGAGCTGCTCCCACGCCCAAGCAAACCTTGGCCACGTAGCCTTGATATGGAAAGAGTCGTACTCACGAAATATCGCCAACCACCCACGGTTGCCCCTCAAGTCGGGGCTACAGTGTGCCACGCGTGACAATACGAATAACATTTCCAAAGGTACCGATTCGCGAGCTCTGGCTTGAGCAAACAAAAACTGGTGCCGGCTTGGGCCAGATGTTACTTGAGGGAAGGAGGTGGGAGGAGGGAGGAGGGAGGAGGGAGGAGGGAGGAGGAGGAGGAGGAGGAGGAGGAGGAGGAGGAGGAGGACGGAGGAGGAGGAGGAGGACGAGGAGGAGGAGGAGGAGGAGGAGGACGAGGAGGACTAGGAGAAGGAGCCGGAGCAGGAGCAGGAGCAGGAGCAGGAGGAGGAGGAGGAGGAAGAGCAGGAGCAGGAGCAGGAGCAGGAGCAGGAGGAGGAGGAAGAGGAAGAGGAAGAGGATCAGGAAGAGGAAGCAGAAGCAGAAGCAGAAGCAGAAGCAAACTCAGAATAAGAAACATAAGCAAACGAACATAATAATAATAGTAAGAATAATAACAAGAAGAAGAAGAAGAAGAAGAGGAGGAGGAGGAGGAGGAGGAGGAGGAGGAGGAGAGAGAAGAGGAGAGTTGGGGAGCGTGGGGGGGGAGGATGCTGCCTGGCCCCGCGCCAGGACGCCGCCGGCTGCCCGCCGCACGCGGGAGGAGCTCCACGCGCGGGCAGCTCCGGCGCCGCCCGCCGAGGCAGCGGCGGCGGTCGCCGTCCGGAGCAGATGCGCTCGGGCTGTGCTCGTTGTTCTGTTCATTGTTTGGCCGATCGGCGCGTGCCCCCAAACCCCCCCTCCCCCCCCCCCATGGATCAGGGGCAACGACAGGGGGGGATGGGCGTAGGGGGGGAAGGCATGGACCCCGAATCGCCCACTGATCGCCGATGGGGGCTCGAGGGCCCCAACCTGCACAGGAAGGTGCGGATTCACTATCGGGGGCCCTTCGCCGATCTATCGGCGATGTATCGTCGATTCCAGGTCGATGCATCCCCCACTATGCCAGTCCCCCCTATCGTTGCCCCTCAATGGAGTAGATCTTGGCTGTTTTTTGGCGTCTGTTTCGGGCGGGTGGAGTCTCCCCTAGAGGCCGCACTCTTGCAAACAGTCGCGCCAAGCAGAGGTCTGGAGCCAGACCCCCTCCCCCTTGCCGCTCAATGTCAAAACGCCGAAGAAGCAAAACACGCTCACGTTCCCGAGCCAGCGCGCTTGGTTTTTGGGGGGCAGAAGCGCTTGGTTTTGCCAGGGGGTCTCCAAAGGCCAGGCCACGCAACGCGTGGCTAGTCTCAAGTAGGGCCTGTCTCTCTACAGGAGGAATTTGCAAAACATAATAATGAAAAAGCAAGACATGTGGTCTGGGGACGATTTTCATACTATTTTTTCTATGTTTGGATATTTGTAGATGATTTCTCAATTTTCGCCCGAAATCCGCCTGTGGGAGAACATGCCCTGGGCCTGCGTCGCTCCAGCCTGGGTGTGGCGGCAGGCGCTCCCGCTTTTCGCGCGGGCCGCGTCTCGTTTCCGCGCGCACCGCTCCGGGTCTTCTCGCTCGTCGCCTCGGACAACATCACGATCTCGAGCGCGACAGGTCTGCGCGCTCGCTTCTGTGGGGTGCCGATCTCGCGCTTTTGGTTCGACCAGCAGCACGTGGGCTTCTGAGAACCCCCGCCGTCTTCTGAGAAGGCCTTCTCCTTCTCGCTTCCCCCCTCGCTCGCCGCCGAGGTTTGGAGGAAGGGGGGGGATGTGAGTTCTGACCGTCTTTTCGACGCGGATCCGGTCGTGGCGACGAGGACGCCTCGATCTTCCATCCCAGGGTGGGCGGGCAGGGCATGAGCTCTCGTTTAGGTGACCAAGTCGCACTTGAGAGTGAGTAGCATCGTTGCCACGTCATGCAGCGCACGGTTGCGGAAAATATGCAGTCGATTTGGTGCCCATGCACACAATGAATTTGCTGCGCGCCCCGCTTTATTCTGACGTCTACAGCGGGAGTGCGCGTCAAAGTTCGGACGAGCATCCGCCAGTGTTCCGACGGCATCGTCGGGCAGTTTCGAGTGTTTTTTTTTAATCGAGGGAGGAAAACCGCCCCGACACCCATGGTTGGCGTTTACGAAGCAGCCTTGGGCGCTTACCGAAGTGCCTTGCCCTGATCGGCTCCTTCCCTACGTGCGCTTACGAAAGGGCTTTGCCTGTATCTGGGTAGTCGAAGGCCAGACTGTCAGATTGGATTGGGCCCCAAGGGCCAATCTGGCCCGGCCAAACTGGATGATTTGGGTTATTCGCCAGACTGGATTCGCGTTGGCTCCCTCGCCAGATTGCCCCCGTTTGCCAGATTGGGCCTGCCAGATTGGCGCCAGATTGGCTTCGACTACCCAGTGTATGGGTTGCTTAGTGCGACTGAATTGCTCCTGCCCTCGACAGACTGGAGTCTTGCGCAGGGCCCATTCCGATCCGATCGGAACTGATTCGGTGTCGACCCACGCTGGACCGACCTGGTTCGATTCCGATGTTTCCGCTGTTCGATGCGGCCCGATGTTTGCGCGGCGCTCCTGTGCCTCCTGGCGCAGCCGATCCGATTCGATTCCGGCCCCGTGCCGATGCGGCGCGACCCTTCGAACACTCCGATTCGACCCGATGTCTCGATTCGATGCTGATTGATCTTCTTCCTAATTACGCCTCCCGACTCTGCTCTGGAGAAGAAGAGAGGAGGGGATACGCAGAGGAGGAGGAGGAGGAGGAGGAGGAGGAGGAGGAGCAGGAGCAGGAGGAGGAGGAGGACGACGACGAGAGAGCAGGAGAGAGGAAAAGAGGTGGATTACAGGAGGAGGAGGAGGAGGAGGAGGAGGAGGAGGAGGAGGAGGAGGACGAGGAGAGGAGACGCTGCAATCCATGCTGATTGAAACTCGCCGAACGTCAACAAAGGAGGAGGAGGAGAAGGAGGAGGAAAGAAGGAGGAGGAGAAGAGAAGGCGGAGGAGGAGGAGGAGCAGGAGGAGGAGGAGGAGGAGGACAACGGGAGGAGAACACGAGGAGAGAAGAAGAGGCGGAAGAGGCGGACGAGGAGGAGGAGGAGGACGCTGCGCCGCGGTCGACGTAAGCCCCCCCCAAAGGGGGGCGGCGCCGCCTCGCCTGCGGCGCGGCGCTGCTGGCGCTGCTGCTCGGGGCGGGTCAGACGGGCTGACGCGCGCCCGGGCGGCCTCCCATCCGTGTTCCGTCCGTCTTCGTCCCTCCTCGTCCCTCGCCCGACTCCTCCCGCCCTCCTCCCCCCCTCCTCCCGAATCCTCCGCCCTCCACCCTCCTCTCCTCCTCCCTCCGACGACGACGACGCCTCTCCTCCTCCTCCTCTTCCTCCTCCTCCTTCTCCTGCTCCTCCCATCTCCTCCTCGTCCTCCTCCTCCCTCCTTCTGCTCCTCCTCCTCCTTCTCCTCCTCCTCCTCCTTCTCCTCCTCCTCCTCCTCCTGCTCCTCCTCCTCCTCCTTTATATTCGTCCTCTTCATCCTCCTCTCCTCCTCTTTCTGCTCTCCTCATATTCCTCCTCCTCTTTCTTCTCTCATCTCTCCTCCTCCTCCTCCTCCTCCGTCCTTCCTTCCTTCCTTCCTTCCTTCCCCCTCTCCCTCCCCTCCTCTTTCCTCCTCCTCTTCCTCCTCCTCCCTCCTCTTCCTCCCCTCCTCCTCCCTCCTTCTGCTCCTCCTCCTCCTCCTCCTCCTCCTCCTCCCTCCTCCTCCTCCTCCTCCTCCTCCTCCTCCCCTCTAATATCCTTCTCTCGTTTCCTCTTGGGCACAGTCGGGCAGGATCATACGAGCCCCTCGATGCCATCAGCTCTGAACTGAACACCTTGGGCGTGGTACTACTGAGTGGTACATGTCGGTGGGTGAGACCTGAGCAGGTACCAAGGATGCACGTCCCACACCACGTTGTTCTCCAGTTTCGGACAAAGAAGGGGAAGTGCGTCAATTAAATCTGCAGGACCTGTATTGTTGAGTCGGCGCTTGGACGACAAAGGTAGTGAGGGACATACTTGCTCCCAGCATACCTCCAGGGAAGAATAGCAGGCGTGAGACTGACTAACAAACTATTCGTCTGCTGCTTCGCCCCCGTCTCAGTCAAATACTACGCCGACCTTGCGGAAGCCATCAGCGGATGGGTCGAAAGCACGCTGGATTCCCCTGGCTGTCGTACACCCCAGTGGTAGGAGGGGACATGAAGAGTGGTCCGCTCGAAGGGCCCTGTAGTGGGGTGGGGTCGAAACACAAGCGGGCAACAACACAACGCGACCATATTCAGGGACTTCGCGATCGCTACCACCCACATAGACGTTTGACCCACCTACTACGGTCTCTCGGGGCAAGCCAGCAGGGTCGACCACGTCGCGATCCCGACCGAGGCCCTGGCGCTCGTCCAGCAGTGTCGCCAATTGTTCGTGGCATGCAAACGGCTCCAACAAAATCAAAGCCAGGAGCTTTCGGGACCACCTACCGCTGGGTCTCGCCCTCCTCGCACCGTCGCCTCCCCGCTTCCCCCCTCCCACCCTTCGCCCACAGCAAGGGATGTCCTGAGACGGCCTCATGGAGTGCCTCCGACGAGGCTATCGGCGCGAGGAGTTGTTGATGGCCCTCGACCAGGAGATGGAGGCGGTAGGACGGGGAGCTTGGGAGGGGGCATCCGCAGCTGCTACTACCGACGAGACTTGGAGTTTGTCAGGGGGCGCAGCAAGGAGGGCGATGAGGATGCCATTCCCCTTGAAGCAGGGGGGAGACGAGGTAGACGAGCTACCCGGCAAAGCGAAACAGCACGGGCCCCAACTCTCGAGCCGCGGCGCGACTTCCGCTTCGAGCCAGGGCCCGACACAGACCCTCACCGATACGAGCAAGCACAGGATGACCCGACACACACCACAGGCGTGCTGCAGCAGGCGCGAGATGCCGCCGACGTGCAGAGGCGAGCGACGATCACCGAGCGCATCTGGATTGCGCACGGGAAGCGCCACTTTGCCGAGAGGCACTGGCTCAGGATGGAGTATCGGAGGAAGGGTCGTGGCCACCGACAAGCGCTATCACACGATTCCACGGACCCACTTGCCTGCAGACTACCGGGTCTAGGGACTACGGGTGCCAGCCTTGGAAGGAGGACTGGCAGTTGAAGTCATCGACCGGGCGTCAAACATAGGCTGCCAGCAGACGACGAGCCGGGGGCGCACGTATAAGCAGACAGGACAACAATGCTGCAGTACTGTAAACGTTCGGGCAAGCGACGGGCCTAGCCTGAGTGGGCCCCCCCATCGACATGACGTGGCTCATGCTTGACCCAAGCGCCCACCTCGAAGATCCGAGCGCGACCAGCGAGGGACTCGAACTCCAGAGAAACATAACAGCCGAACATCGAGAGGACACAGAGGATCTGGCCCACTACTCCTCCCTGGGCAAGTTAAGAAAAGGGGTGGGAGCTGCTGCAAAAGATGAGATGGCGCGAGGGAGAGTGCATCGGGAAGGCGGGGGGCAGGCTGGACGGCACGGAGGGAGCAGCTTGGGATCAGCGACCTTACGCAATTGGAGTGTGGGAGTTCTGCGGGTGTGGGTACAGCCAGAGTAACCGACCAGAAGTCTGAATACCAGCGCGACCTTACCCGATTCCGTACCCAGTACCGCGCCAAGTCCACGCGGCCCGCGAAGAGCGGCATTGCTCTCAGGCATGCGCTGCCGAAAATAAGGACGGCAAGACGGCCACCATCGAGACCAGTTCGAGGAGCGCTCGCCCCAGGCACTCCCCAGGCGAATGTCCAGGGGCCTGCGGCCTGCATCCACATCCACTTAGGGGCCAACGTGCTTAGGAGCAAGCACAGGCCAAGACCCTTAACGGCAGTGTCCTTGTCCTTGTCCTCCTCCTCCTTCTCCTCCTCGGTCCTCTTGTTTCTCCTCTCTTCCCTCCTCTCACTTGCTCGTCGCTCTCCGTGTTTGTTCCCCTTCATCCTCCTTCCCCTTCTCCTTCTCCCTTCCGGGTCCCAAGCCCCTGGCCACCTTGCGTAGCCGAAGACCACGGTGTTCGGTTTTTGGGGGGTGCGATTGAGCCCCAGGTTTTAGTTTTATCCCCAGCCACCACCTTGTCCTGCCTGCTAGTTGCACTCTGCTCATTAATCCGGGGTGTGTTGCCTTTCGCCTCGCCTCTTGCCGCCTGTTGCCCCCCGAACATTATCGCGGTGATCGACGGCGCGTGCCTCAGCGTTATCCATATCAAGGTGAGCCTCGACAGCGGGCTATCGGTAAACACTGCTCTGGCGTGGGGACGGGGGCAGCAACGAGCATGACTATGAGTATTGTGATGATGACGCCTGTACTGGCCTTGTTACGACAATGGTGCTGGTGATGCGAATTATGTTGGTAACGATGGCGATGACGGTGAGCATGATGACGGCGGTGGTGATGACATGTTGAATGGTGTTGTTGATGATGATCATGACGTCAACTACGATTCTGCGGATGATTATGAGGTTGATGATGATGAGTCTTGCTATTGTTATCCGTAAGGGCTTCGCTCCCTGCCGCCGGCCCCCTCTCTATCAGACTTGGATATGACAGAGTCGCGTCGGTGCGTCTCGGCGCTGCCTTGGCGCATCTGGGAACAGCATGTGCGGGCGGATAGGAGTCAGCAGCGCATATTGCAACGTTGGCGTTGTCCTTGTGGCCTTCGGCCCATCCCGCCACCGTGCCTGAGTTGTGGGTCGGAGACCTTTTGTTTATGTGTTGGGGTGTCGTGAGGAGCCTCTCGGGGGCCTCTTGGAGGCGGTTTGGGCGCCTCTTGGGGGCCTCTTGGGGCCTCGTGGGGTATCTTTTGGGCTTCTTGGAGGTCTCTTGGGCGCGCCTTGGGCGACTTCTTGGGGCCTCTTGTAGGAGATCGTGGCCTCGGGGGCGCGAGTGCGGCGCGATGTACGAGGGATCGTGGCTTTGGGGGTTGGAGCGTGGCGTAAGTTACGTGGGATCGTGGCCTCGGGGGCGCGAGCGTGGTGCAATTTACAAGAGATCGTGGCCTCGAGGGCGCGAATGCGGGGTAATTTGCAGAGGGTCGTAGCCTCGGGGGCGCGGCTGTGGCGTAATTCATCGGGGATCGTGGCCCAAGAGGCGAGACCGCGGCGTAATGTACGAGGGATCGTGGCCTCAGGAGCGCGAATATTGTGTATTTTGCTAGGGATCGTGGTTTCGGGGACGCGAATACAGTGTAACGAATACAGCGTAACTTACAAAGGATTATTGCGTCGGGAGCGCGAACCTTTTGTACTTTTACGTGTCCCATGGCCCTCAGAAATTCAGAGCACGCGATTCGGGGACGCTAGCCCGGGTAGTGTTCGGCTCCCCCCCCCTCGCGCGGACAGTGACATTTTACAGAAGGAAGCAGAAAGCAATACTGTAACAATGGAAACTGGAAACAAGAACTGGCGCAGGGAGCAGCAAAACTAAGCCTTGCAGCCTCGCAGCCTGATGACCACGCAAGGGGGCTGGCGGATGATGATGATGATGATGATGATGATGATGATGATGCTGATGCTGATGCTGATGCTGATGCTGATGATGATGATTATGATGATGATTATGATGATGGTGATGCTCATGATCATGATTATGATGATTATGATGATGGTGATGATGGTGATGATGGTGATGGTGATGGTGATGGAGATGTTGATTATGATGATGATGGTGGTGATAATGGTGTGATGATTATGATGGTGATGCTGCTGATGATGATGATCGTGATGATGATGATGATGATGATGATGATGATGATGATGCTGATGATGATGATGATGATGCTGATGATGATGATGATGATTGTGCCGATGCCGATGCTGATGCTGATGCTGATGAGGATGATGATGATGATGATGATGATGGTGATGGTGATGATGGTGATGCTGATTCGTTTTATGGTTATTACCATTATCATCCTTATCATCATCATCATCATTCGTATGTTGTTGATTGTGATGGTGATGGTGATGATTATGCTGGTGGTGTTGATGATGCTGGTGGTGATGATGATGCTTACTATAGTGCGGATGTTGATGATGATGATTACTATGCTGCAGACTACGATGAAACTATTGATGATTCAGATGATTATTATGATGATGTTCATGATGATGACGACGTTGACGATCATGGTGTTGATCATGTTGATGATGATGGTCATAATAATGGTGATGACGATGATGACGATGCTGATGGAGGTGATGATGCTGATGAGTATGATGATGATGACGATGGTGCTGATTATGATGATGACGATGGTGATGATGATGATGATGATGATGATGGTGGTGGTGGTGATGATGATATCGCTACTGATGCTGAGGGTGATGTTAAGTATGCTGATGCTGGTCATGATGCTGGTGGTGGTGGTGGTGATGATGATGATGATGTTGATGATGACGATGGTAGTGGTGATGCTGATAATGATGATGGTGACGGTGGTCATCATCATCATCATCATCAGCATCAGCATCAGCATCAGCATCATCATCATCATCATCATCATCATCATCATCATCATCATCATCATCATCATCGTCACATCACCGCGACGAGGACAAGAAGGAGCTGGTGGGAGAAGGGGGAGCGGGCGAAGAGGCTCAGAAGGGTGGGGTGGGGAGGAGGCGGTGCCCTCACAGCGGCCCGTGTTTCAGCACCCTTCCGCCCGACAGGCGGTTGGGCTGGTGGACGCACCAAGCATAGACAGGGCGCGCGCCCGCGGCGACAGCGGCAGCGGGGGGAAGTGGAGGAATAAGGAAGGGCGATGAGGAGGAAACGGAGCTGGAGGAGGAGGAGGAGGAGGAGGAGGAGGAGGAGGAGGAGAGGAGGAGGAGGAGGAGCAGGAGGAGGAGGAGGAGGAGGAGGAGGAGGAGGAGGAGGAGGAGGAGTAAGGAGGAGTGGGGGAGGGGTAGGATGAGAGGGAATAAGGAGGAGGGGGCAGCGGACGACGAGGAAGGGGAGGAGGGGAGGGAGAAGAAGAGGAGGAACATGAGGAGGAGGGCTCACTTCAGGCGCGCTATCTTCCCCGCCCGTCGGATGCCTGCCAAGCGGCTGCGCCTTGTCGAGAGCGTTCCTGGCATTCCCGCATCGTCCCGCAGAGGCGTGCACCAGAGAGCCCCCTGGCAGGGCGGGATAGCGTGCACAGAGAAGGGCCCTCGCGGGAGGCTCGCCTCCCTGGGACGAACGTGCTTTTCGGAGATCGCTGTTGCCCGCGATCTTCCCCTTCTGCCAGCCGTAGGCGAAACTCCTGACGCCTCTTCTCTTCCCTCGCGCCCGCGCTCGCCTGTCCGCCCCGTCTTGCCCCGCCACTGCGCCCGTCCGCCCCGCCTTCTGCCCCGCCGCAGGGGGGAGTTGGCAGGGCCAAGGCCAAGGCGAAGTCGGGCCTGTCCCTCCACAGGGGGAATAGTCAAAAATAGTCCAAACATAGTCTGGGGACTAGTTTTCCATTTTTTTGTTTTACTATTTTGGCGCATTTTCGTGGTATTTCTTCTTATTTGTCGCCCAAGGCCAAGGCCAGTGTGCCAGTGGCCATCGAGGCACAACGCCTGACACAGACATGCGCTGTCGGAGGTCCGCGGTCCGCGCGGAGCTGTTGGAGCCGCGCCGGACCTCCGGCCTGGCGTGCGGCGCGCGCTTGGGGCGGCGTCGGAGGCGCCGCCAGGAGGCTCCAGCGCCGGGCCAAGGTCGGGCCGGGCGAAAGGGGGGGATTGGGAAAGGGGGGGTTACGAAATTTGCTGCATGCAGCTGGTTTCGGCCTCACCGAGGGGCCCATTCCTCGATACATAGCCGCTTCCGGCGCCGGGAGGCGCGGGGAAAATCAGCTACGTGAGCTGATTCTCAAAACCCCCCTTTGCTATCCCCCCCTTTCGCCCGACCCGACAAGGCATCCGCGCGGACTTCTGGGAAGTTTCTGCTTATGGTTTTATTTGCCCTTCGAGGTCCGACGATACTCTGAAGTCGGGCCTGTCCCTCTACATGAGGAGTATTCCAAGATATCCAGAAAATAGTATGGGGACGATTTTTCGATAATTGCTTCAGTATGCTTGAGCATCTTTTAGTATTATTTTCTGTCGAAATCCTCCTGTAGGGTTAAGTCGGACCTGTCCCTCTAGAGGAGGAATATTCGAAAATAGTCAAAAAGTAGTCAGGGTACAATTTGTCGATGATTTGTTTTACCATTTTGGGGTATTTGTTGCGTACATTTTATTTTTCCTCCAAAATCCGCCTCTAGGGGGACATGCCCGACTTACCCCTAGGGGGACATGCCCGACCTAACGATACTCCTGACAACCTCCTGTCCTCCTCTCCTCTGAACGAGCGCGTTTTGTGCTCGCTTGGGGGGGGGGGGGTGGAACCAGACCCCCCCCTCCCTTCCTCCCGCGGCGGCTGGCGGCGGCGGCGGGGAGACGATTTCCTTTTCTGGGCTGGCGCTGGCGCTGCGGCGGCAGGCGGCGGCGGGGAGCGTCGACGAGGACGACGGTGGTGTTGGTGGTGGTGGTGGGTTGTGGTGGTGGTAGCGGTGGTGGTGGTTGTAGTGGTGGTGGTGTGGTGGTTTGTTGTGGTGGTGGTGGTTGTGGTGGTAGATGGTGGTGGTGGTGGTGGTGGTGGTTTGGTGGTGGTGTGGTGGCGGTTTGTGGTGGTGGTGGTGGTGGGTTGTGGTGGTGGTGGTGGTGGTTTGGTTGTGGTGGTGGTGGTGGTTTGGTTGTGGTGTGGTGGTGGTTTGTGGTGGTGGTGGTGGTTGGTTGTGGTGGTGGCGGTGGTTTGTGGACGTGGTGCTGGTGGTGGTGGTGGTGGCGGTGGTGGTTGTGGTGTGGTGGTTTGTGGTGGTAGTGGTGGTGGTTGGGTGGTGGGTTGTTGTGGTGGTGGTGGTGGTGATGGTGCGTTGTGGTGGTGGTGGTGTTGGGTTGTGGTGGTGGCTGCGGTGGTGGTAGTGGTTGTGTGGTGGTTGTGTGGTGGTGGTGGTGGTGTGGTGGTGGTGGGTTGAGGCGGTTGTGGTGGTGGTGGTAGTGGTGGTGGTTTGTGGTAGTGGTGGTAATCGTCGCTGCGTCCCCGCCGTCGCCGGCGCCAGCGCCGGCGCTGCTGGCCGCCGCCAGCGCCGGCGCCGGCGCCAGGCGGGGGTTTGAACACCCCCCCCTGGGCGCAGGCGCCAGGGGGGGGGTTTTGAACCCCCCCCTTGGGCTGCCTCTGGTCATCGTCGCTGCGTCCCCTGCTGGCGGCCGCCAGCGCTGGCGCCGGCGCCGGCGCCGAAGGGGGGGGGGGTCGGGAGGGGGGCGGGCTTGGGAAGAGGGGCCCCCTGGTTTTGATCGACGGCGCCGAGTGTTGGTAGGGGGCCCACCCCCCGGCGCGAAGCGCCCCGCCGAATGTTCCCAAGGCCATCGCCCGTGAAACGCGCGCTCTCTCTCTCTCTCTCCTCTCCTCCCTCGCCCGCGCGCTTCTGCAGGGGCCCGCCCGCCGCGCCCGTCCGCTGTCGCCTCCTCCTCCTCCTCCTCCTCCTCCTCCTCCTCCTCCTCCTCCTCCTCCACTGTTGTTTTCACCCCTTCGGCTTCGACCTTCGTGTTCCTCCTCCTCCTCCTCTGTCGTTCTCGCCTCCTTCCCCTCCTCCTCCTCCTCCTCCTCCTCCTCCTCCTCCTCCTCCTCCTCCTCGTCCGCTGTTGTTCTCACCTCTTCGGCTTCGACCTTCATGCTTTCCCTCTCTCCTCTTGGCGTCCCAGGGCGTCCTCGGATGATTCTCGGCGGAGTCCAAATCCAAGTCCAGATGCTCCTCCTCACTCCGTCCGACCCCTGCGCGGGGAGAGTCGGTGCAGGCAGGGCCAGAGCGTCACATGACGCCAGCGACCCCCTTAAGCACAGCCAGGCCATGCTGGATGTGTAAACGCCGCTCAGCTCTGGCCGAGGGGGAGTAACCACCGAACTGGCCCCAGAGCTCGATCGATCGATCGATCCCTCCGCCCTCCTCGACGTCCCCCCCCCTTGGGCTTTGTTGCGTGTGTTGCGCCCCTCTGTGGTGCGCCCTTCTTTGTTGCGTATGTTTGCGCCTGTTGTGCTGTTATGTTTTGGGTGTGCTGCTGCTGCTTTGTGCCCTGACTTTGTGTGCGGGCCTTGTGCGTTTTGTGTTGCTGTTTGCTTGTTTTTTTGTTTGTGTTTTTTGGCTTTCTTGTGTGCGCCCCCCCGCTCCCCTTCGCCCCCCCCCCCCCCCCCCCCCCCCCCCCCCCCCCCCCCTCCCCCCCCTTTGCGCACCCCCCCGCCCCCTTTTTTTCTTTGTGTGTGCTTGCATTTGTGCTTGCCCCCCCCCCCCCCACCCCCCCCCTTGCTTGCGCCCATGCCCCCCCCCCCCCCCTGGAGGAGGTTAGGGGACCAGGACCAAAAAGGCCTCCCCTGCAAGAGAGCAAGTCCCCCTCCCGCCATTTCCCCCCCTCCCCCCCCTCCATGTTTTCCTTCCTCCCTTCTCCTCCTCATTCCTCTTCCTCTACTCCTCATCCTCCTCATCCGCCCCCCCCTCCCCCTCCCTCTCCCTACCTTCCTCCTCCTCCTCCTACTCCTCCTCCTCCTCTCTCCCCTCCTCCTCCTCCTCCTCCTCCTCCTCCTCCTCCCCCTCCTCCCCCTCCTCCTCCTCCTCCCCCCCCCCTGCCCCGTGCCTCTTCCCGGGGGGGCAGGCCTCTGCGCCTGGCAATGTGCCGCGGCGGGGCCGCACGCCCGAGCTCGGAGGCGACGAGAGGGGCGAATCGCCCAGGGGCGGGCAGTGCGCGTATTCGCCCAGGGGCCTCGCCGACTGCACGGACCATCGGCGCCCCTGGTAACAGGGACGGCTCTCCTTTGGGCCCTTCGCCCCCCATCGTCACCCCCGACCAGCGGCGAGCTCTTCTCGGCGCTGCGCGCGGACCCGGCGAACCAGGCGTGCTGCGACGGCGGCGCCGGCGAGGCCTGCGGGCGATCGGGCAAAACAGCAAGTTCGGGTGTGCCCCTGGCCCAAAGTGCCCCAAGGATTTACAGGGAGGCCTCCGCGGCCTTCAGAGACCCCCAGGGAGGCCTCCGCGGCCTTCAGAGACCCCCTGACGAGGCCCAGAGGGCCCCAGGGGCTCCAAAGTGGAGCCGAAAGCTGGGGGAGGCGTGGGCCAGGTGCACCTTGAGCAGCCCTCGGCGAATGACGATCTCAATCCCGTAATGGGGATGGGTTGTTCTTTCAGGGGCCTTGGGTCGTTATTTCAGGGGCCCCAATTAATGCATGCGCCACAATGATACTGTGCCCCACAGTACACTTGTGAACCACAACGCTTGTATACGCAATGCGCAACGCCATGTAGGATTGTTGCTCTGCGCTGCGCTACTCGCTCTGTAAGGTTATTGCGCTTCTGCGCTATATGGATGACTACCTTTTTTACGGCCACGGGTGATATTGCTAGCGATGCTGTGCACCGCGCGTTGTGCACCGTCGGCCGATGATCGGTTAGCAACGTGTTGCCTCACTACCAATTGCAGTGCGCGGTGTTCGATGTGTTCGCAATGAAGCAGACGAGTATGATGGAAATGAGGGCGCGGACGGGACAGGTGAGGTAAAGATAGGGACTTTGAGGATGACAAGGAGCAAGAGAGCAAGAGAGGTGAGGAATGGATTTGGGTTCCCTTATGGCAGCGTGGTCAACAGAAGGCATCTGAGACTTAACACCACTTCCCTGTCCTCGTCACTCTTTGAAGGGAGGGGGGGGGCTCGTCAACTGCCGTGCGGTGCAGCAGGTTTCGATGATGCAACAAGGCATTGCGGCGCGCAGCATTCCAGTGCACCACGATGCCTGCCTGCGCTGCAGTGCTTGTGGTCACTCATATGCATGCGTGAGCCAGAGCGCCTACTTGCATTATGATGCCCGTGCGGACGCGTGCGCAGTGCCCCGCGTGCTGCGCAATGCCTGCGTGCACCGCAAAACTCCAGAATGCGTGTGCGCACCACGATGCGTCCGTTCCTGCAACCGCGTTTGGGCATTTCACGGTGACCCTAACGGCTGCCCGTGGGAGAAGTACGCGTGTGCACCACCAGGGGTGTGAGCGGCACAATGCATGCGCGCGCACCACGGCACCACGGTGTACTTGTGCAACACAGCGCGCGCGTGCGCCGCATCGGTTGCGTGCGCCATTATGCCCGCGTGCGCCCATATACCTGCGTGCAGTGTGCTGAATCACGTGCGCGTTGCACCGGGCACCACTGCTCACCCGTGAGCAGCGTACGCATGCGCCTCATTCGGAAGTGCCCCTGCTCCCCAAAGCGGGCAGTTTTGTCGACCTTGCCCTACATGCACACGTGCAACGTGGCGCACTGTGCCACAAGCGGTGCGGTACAAACGCGTATTGCGACGTCAGCTCGCATCATGGCGCGCACGCGTATTGTCTGCACGGTAATGCGCACACGCAATGCGGTGCGCACGGGCGCTACTATGGTGCACGTGCGGGCAGCGCGGGGCAGGCAAGATTTTTGGTGCACGCAAGCGTTGTGGTGCTCGCGCAGGCATTGCGGGATTCTCGGGATGGGGTGGGGTGGGGTGGGGGGGTCTAATTGGCGTTCTAGTAGGCGGTGGTACAGTCGGCCCAGATTAGTAGGTCGACCCTGCCAAATCAAGGGTACCCTCGTGTCCTGTGTCTCGCGACCCATACTTCCTACCTTCCTGTGGCAATGTGGCCCTTGGAAGGGTCTTGTGTCCTCTCGCGTGTCCTCTCCAATGAATTCCGACTGTAAGGGTTGCAATAAGCGCTGTAGCAAAGGTTGTTGCAGGCGCAGGGTATAATCGGCGCTGCAGTAAGGGTCGTTTCCACAAGTGCAGCGTGCTGTCGTACGTTCTGTAGCAGGCATTCTAATCGGCAGCACTGTAGGCAACAACGTTGGCGCCGTAGTAATGGTTGAGATACGGATTACAGCGTAGACTTTAATACACGCTGCAGCAGGTCGTACGAATTGTAAAAGGGGCTGTGGCACTTGTATTTGCTCCTGGAAACGAGCTATCGTGGCTTTTGTGATTTGCGATGTAGTAGGGTGCTGTGGTCGGAGCTGGGATCCTGACTACAGCATGGGCTGTGGGGGCGTGCGTGCGAACTGTTGCATGCCATTCGTCGGGGCTGCAAGACCGGATGTGTTTCGGCCTGTAGCCGTTGTTGCGGCGGGGATTTTGGGAGGGGACGGGGAAGCGAGTCGGCGCTGTAGCAAGCGATGCAAAAACAACATGTCGTGGGAAGTGTAATGCGGTCTGCAAAGTAAGGTTTGAAATCGGCTCTACAGTGTCTTTTTCCCTGTGACGATGCAGTTGGCGGTGCAACCGACGCAATCTTGAGCGTTGCATTATCGGCTGAAAGAGACGTAGAGTAATACGGGGCTGCAGGATGTTGATTTTACGGGTTGCGATCAATGATTCTGAATACGGGTTGTAGTAGGGAACGCAATAAGGATGACATTAAGTGGTGCAGCAGGGGTTGTAGTAGGCTGTGCAGTAATCTTCGTAGGAATGGCTGCCAACATAGACCACCAACGCATCGAAAACCGCACGATTTCCTACCACTAGCGATGGCGAAACCCATCGTTCATCGCACACTACCATCTGCATTTACAGCATTCGGTTACGGTTTGGCGATTGCGTCGTAATACTCACATCAAGCGCAAACAGAAAGCACGCCCCACCTTCATCCAGCCTCCCGCCCCCTCCGCCCACGAGTCCACCCACGAGAGGCGGAGTGGGCGTCGGTATCCCACGGCATCTACCTCAGCATCGCAGCAGCCGGCGTGCACAGGAGCTTGTATCTATTATTTGGCAAGAGCGGGCGTTGTTGCCAGGTGGGAGTGAGTGAGTGAGGGAACTTGTAACGTCACGATTTGCGCCGGCGCCGTCTGGGAAGCGCGTGGGCCCCCAACCATTCTCCTGAAGCGTGACATCACCAGGCCGAAGAGGTGTGGAGGGCGCGTGGGGGCCCAGTACGGGGCTGTTTGTGCGAATGAGCTTGAAAGTGTTCCCAGGGAGCGAGGGGAAGAAGGTTCACAGAGGGCACAAACATGCACTCTCGGAGGGCTCGCGCGGGTCTCCTGTGTCGGTGGTGGTTGGGGCTCCCTCTGGCCATGCACCTGGCTGCCCCTCCCCCCCGCGCGCTCTGTGCCCGCCAGGGAGGGGGCATGCCCAGGTCCCCGACGATCTGATTGAGAAGGCCTCGTGGCCGGTGCCTCCGACCCTGAAGAGGGGCGACGAAGACGCCGGCGGCGGCGACGACGACAACGCTGACGTGGGCCAGAGTCCTCAGGGATGCCTTCCGAAGGCTGTCGGGGGCCTCTGGGGAGGTGCTTCGGGGCCTCTCGTGAGCCTCCTGGGGGCCTTTGGATGCGAGTGTGTTAGATCCCGATGGTGCTTCGTTGATTTCGGCCTCCTCGGGCCGCTGTGCGGGCCCAGGGCCCTGAGACGTGGATGTGCGGCGAGGAGATCTCCGGGGCCGCGGGCTGAGGAGAAGACGCATCGGTGGATGCTTGCGTGGGGAGGGGCGCGCAGCGCCAACGCAGGAAGTCCGCCCGGAGGTCCGCGGTCTCATGTTTGCGCGAGCCTCTCTGGCAGGAGCATGGGCGTCCGCACCAGCTTCGTGCAATCGACCGCGATGGACGCCTGGAAGCCGCTCCACCTCAGGATGATGGAGCTCGGCGGCAACAGGCGTCAGCATTGCCTCACTGGACAAGAGTATCTCAGCCCCGCCAGCCCAGCCCCCTATGTGAGGACAGGCCGCGCGAAACCCGAAGAAACAGGCATTTCAGAGTGAGGGGCCCGAGCAGTCAAGAATTCTCAGGGCAACGTATGGGGGACTCTTCTGATGGTCACATATGGGGGCCACGTTTTGGGGCCATGTGTGTTGGGGCAGCTTGCTTCGCCCGCGCGTCCCCCCCTCAATCTATCCGCAAATGCGCGGTGCTACGTATACGTGTATATGTATACATATAACGGCGCACCAGGTCCGGGGGCCCGGGGCCGGGACCTCGACCACAAATGTGCGCCCCGGGGGGCCCGGAGGCTCGTCGGGGCTTGCCGGAGGCCTCCCCGGTCAGACAAGACGGCCCCAGGAGCGCCCAAGACGGCCCAAGAAACTTCCAAGAGGCCTCCAAGAGGGCTCCGAGATGCTAAAGATGGCCTCCAGACGTCCAAGGACGCCCCCAAGAGGCCCCAAGAAGCCTCCAACATGCGTCCCAAGAGGGCCCCTAGACGCAAAAGTTGGCCCATTCCCTTCGTAAAACGTACATTTTTCAACAAGGACGGCCCAAGAAAGACTTCCAAGAGGGCCCCAGGACAGCCCAAGAGGGCCCCAAGACGGCCCAAGAGGCGCCCAAGATGGCCCAAGAGGGCCCCAAGACGGGCCCAAGAGGGGGCCCAGAGGGGGACCACGAACCGCAAGCTCGAGCCTTCCGCCCCAAGAGGCCGCCAGGAGGCCCCCAGGAGGCCCCTCAAGAGGCCCCAGGAGACCCCAGACGTCCAAGGACGCCCCCAAGACGCCCCAAGAAGCCTCCAACATGCGTCCCAAGAGGGCCCCTAGACGCAAAAATTGGCCATTCCCTTCGTAAAACGTACATGTTCAACAAAGTCGCCTTTTGGGCTTTCCGACGTTACAGGACGGCCCAAGAGGCGCCCAAGACCGCCCCAAGACGGCCCAAGAAGCTTCCAAGAGGGCCCCAGGACAGCCCAAGAGGGCCCCAAGACGGCCCAAGAGGCGCCCAAGATGGCCCAAGAGGGCCCCAAGACGGGCCCAAGAGGGGGCCCAGAGGGGGACCACGAACCGCAAGCTCGAGCCTTCCGCCCCAAGAGGCCGCCAGGAGGCCCCCAGGAGGCCCCTCAAGAGGCCCCAGGAGACCCCAGACGTCCAAGGACGCCCCCAAGAGGCCCCAAGAAGCCTCCAACATGCGTCCCAAGAGGGCCCCTAGACGCAAAAATTGGCCCATTCCCTTCGTAAAACGTACATTTTCAACAAAGTTGTCTTTTGGGCTTTCCGACGTTACAGGACGGCCCAAGAGGCGCCCAAGACCGCCCCAAGACGGCCCAAGAAGCTTCCAAGAGGGCCCCAGGACAGCCCAAGAGGGCCCCAAGACGGCCCAAGAGGCGCCCAAGATGGCCCAAGAGGGCCCCAAGACGGGCCCAAGAGGGGGCCCAGAGGGGGACCACGAACCGCAAGCTCGAGCCTTCCGCCCCAAGAGGCCGCCAGGAGGCCCCCAGGAGGCCCCTCAAGAGGCCCCAGGAGACCCCAGACGTCCAAGGACGCCCCCAAGAGGCCCCAAGAAGCCTCCAACATGCGTCCCAAGAGGGCCCCTAGACGCAACAATTGGCCCATTCCCTTCGTAAAACGTACATTTTCAACAAAGTTGTCTTTTGGGCTTTCCGACGTTACAGGACGGCCCAAGAGGCGCCCAAGACCGCCCCAAGACGGCCCAAGAAGCTTCCAAGAGGGCCCCAGGACAGCCCAAGAGGGCCCCAAGACGGCCCAAGAGGCGCCCAAGATGGCCCAAGAGGGCCCCAAGACGGGCCCAAGAGGGGGCCCAGAGGGGGACCACGAACCGCAAGCTCGAGCCTTCCGCCCCAAGAGGCCGCCAGGAGGCCCCCAGGAGGCCCCTCAAGAGGCCCCAGGAGACCCCAGACGTCCAAGGACGCCCCCACGACGCTTCGCGTCACCAATTTCTTCTCACAGCGATTCCTGGGTCTGTGACTCGACAGAACCTAAGCGCGCGCGAAGCGCGCGCGTGGTTCTAGTATGTATATGTGTGTGTCTTTGTTTATTTCTATATATATGTATGTAAATATGTATAGATATGTATGTATACACATGTGTTTATCTATCGATATACGTATTGAATATACAAATGTTCCAGGGCCCGCCCCCACCTGACACCATGCTGATGGGATCGCCCCCCCTCCCTCTTTGGGTCCCCCCCCGCTGTGGAGGGGTGGGTGTGGGGTGGTGCTGCGGTGTCCCCCCCTCCCTACTACTGGTGTCGGGTGGTGTTGCGGAGCCGTCGTCGTCAACGTCAACCTCAACATCATTATCGTCATATTCACTGTCTCCGTCGTCGTCGTCGTCGTCGTAGCCACCATCCCATCCACAGTGGTGGAGGGGAGGGCCACTGGAGCCCTGGCCCGGGGACCCATCCCAGCTTGGGGGGCTCCTGGGCCCCGAGCCCTTGATCTATGATGTTCCAACCTACTTTAGCCTTGACCACCAGAAAGAATTTCGAGCACCAGAAAAGTACCGAAGCTCGCGGGTTTTCACGTGTCGGGCCCTGGGAGACACTCGTCCGACGCTGTTCCAACACTCTTTCGACACTCTTTCGACACCTTTCCGGGTGCTCGAAATTATGTCTGGCATGTGGTCCGTTGGTACGATGGGAGCAACATAATCCGTGATCGTAGATCCCCACCCAGGTGGGCAAGTCGGCCCGTGGGGCCAAGGCCAGGCCAGTCGGGATAGAGATCCGTGAAGCGATGCCCAAGGCGTTTCAGCGACTTCCTCCGCCAGCACGGCATCGTCATTGTCATCGTCATCGTCATCGTCATCGTCATCGTCATCGTCGTCGATCCGCGAAGCGATGCCCAAGGCGTTTCAGCGACTTCCTCCGCCAGCACGGCATCCCAGACGGCACGCCGCTCCGCGAGAAGTACGCGACCCGCGCCGCCGCCTGGTACCGCAGGGCCCTGCGAGCGGAGGCCGAGGGCTCCGACGCGCCAGAGCCCCTGGCGGAGAACACGGGGCACCTGCCGGAGGAGTCGTGCGCGAGCAGCGCCGTCCTCGACAGGGTCTTCGCCGAGGCGAAGGCCCATCGGGCATCGTCGATGATCCTCAGGACGTGCGCTAGCCCAATGTGTGTTTACCCCTCTTTCATTCGACATTGGCAGTCGAGTGTGCCTGTGCGTTCCCCCGTCGGTTTCGCTGATCGACGCGCAGTTCGCCGGACATGTTCGGTTGTTTCTGGGCGTCGACGCGCTACCCAGCTGGGGTGCACTCGGAATGCGGTGCCGTGCCCACGTGGAGTGCCCCTGGCAGCTTTTTTGCTGAAGGGTGTGTTGCTGTTTTGCTACAGGGGCCAGCGCACTCAGGACGGAAGGCTTCCGCCTCTGAGTGCCCCCCTCCTCCCTCCGCCTCCGCGGCCGCCCCGTCTGTCTCAGTCTCTCCTCTTTGCACGCTGGGCAATGCGCTCCTCGATCGCCCTGTTCAGCCCGACCGCTGGTGCGGCAGCCTCTGCCTCGCCGCCCACGAGAACGTGTTCTGCCACAGGGGGTCTCTGCCCACCCCCGAGTTCAGGGGCGCCGGGTGGCGCTGGCCCAGCGCAGTGTGGGGCGGGGGCACCCCTCGACCCCCGATCGCGTCCGTTCGGCGCCGATCCAGGCTCGGGTGCCCCACCCCGCCCAGGAGCGGGCCTCTGTTTCCGTTGCTGCCCGGGGCCCGCCGCCGATCTGTCGGCGATGCGTCGCCGATCCCGAGCCAAAATCTCCTTGTTGATCGTTGACTTATTCAGGTTTGCCGATCGGCGCGGGCCTTGGCCCCCCCCCTCCCCCCGTCCATGGCGTAGATATTGGTTGTCTTTGGCGCGTGCTTCGAGCAGGTGGATTCTCCTTTCTAGAAAGAGAACGAACTCTAGCCCCCCCCCCGGCGTCATCGGTCCCCCTTTCGAGAATGTAAATCATATATGATTATGACCACATGTCCATTCTAGATATGAATGTACACTATCCCGGGGGGGCAGTATCGGCCCCCCTACGGTTCCCTTGTAAAAAACAATACGCGGGGTCATGTTTGTTCTAACATAAGACTTGTTCGCGAATCCTTTGAACAAATGGTACGAAGTGCGCACGCGCGCGTCGTCGCGCGCGCATGCCGAAATCCTTCAAACACCTTCGATGCCAGAAGGATTTCGCAACCGAGTTTCCAACAAAACATACAAAACACAGGGTTTCGCAACACTGATGTGCTAAACATGATGGACCCACGAACCCGGAAAGGGATATAGACATGTGCAGCATGGTCACGTTTTCACGATATCCAACTGGGCGACACCTCACGAAACATCCCACGAGACACCCCGCGAAACATCCCAGGAGACACCTCACGAAACAACCCACGAGACACCTCACGAAACATTCCACGAGACACCCCGTGAAACATTCCACGAGACACCCCACGAACAGGCAACCACTCAACCAGACACCCCACGAAACATTCCACGGGGGTGCGACTGGGTGTGGTCGTGCTGGGGTGTGGTCGTGCTGGAGTATGGTCGTGTTGGGGTGTGGTCGTGCTGGGGTGTGGTCGTGCTGGGGGGTGGTCGTGCTGGGGGGTGGTCGTGCTAGGGGGGTGGTCGTGCTGGGGGGTGGTCGTGCTGGGGCGTGGTCGTGCTGGGGCGTGGTCGTGCTGGGGCGTGGTCGTGCTGGGGTGTGGTCGTGCTGTGGTGAGGTCGTGCTGGGGTGTGGTCGTGCTGGGGTGTGGTCTTGCTGGGGTGGGGTCGTGCTGGGGTGTGGGTGCGTGCTGGGGTGTGTGTCGTGCTGGGGTGTGGTCGTGCTGGGGGTGTGTGTCGTGCTAGGGGGGGTGTGCTGGGGTCGTGCTGGGGTGTGGTCGTGCTGGGGTGTGGTCGTGCTGGGGTGTGGTCGTGCTGGGGTGGTCGTGCTGGGGTGTGTGCTGGGGTCGTGCTATGCGTGGGGGTGTGGTCGTGCTGATGGGTCGTGCTGCCCGCACCCTGTGATTTATCGATCGGGATTTCAAAAACAAGCGTTTCGCCTGAGACATCCTCAAATTTTAATCCGCCGGCCTCCTTCGACCTCGATATTTATCAGGGAAAGAATCCGCCGGCCTCCTTCAAGTTGGGCACCGGGGACAAGTTTACATACTAAAAGAGAACCCTGGGCCTATGCCCTTTCCGGGAAAAAGCTTACGCGCGAGCTCTTGCGAAATCTTTAGAAAACCATAGGTTTTCAAGATTTTCACAAAATCCTACCACACGGGCTTCGCGCGCGCATGTCGAAATCTGTCGAACGCCCTTGAGCGTGTGTCGTCGCGAGAATCCTGCCCAAATACTGGGACGAACTGCAGACGCGCGCGTCGTCGCGCGCGTATGCCGAAATCCTTCAAAACCCATCGGTTTCGGAAGGATTTCAAAATCGCGTGACCGAAAAACCTACAAAAACACAAGGTTTCGCGACACGGACTTTCAACAACAACCGTGCGCGCGCGCTCTTGCGTCGTCGTCGTCGTCGTCGCCGTCCTCCCTCCTCCCGCGTCGTCGTCGTCGTCGCCTACGTCGTCCTCTGTATTTCGTCGTGTTCGTCGTCGTCGTCGTCGTCCTCTTTGGCGTCGTGGTCGTTTCCGTCGTCGTTGTCGCCGTGGTCGTCCTTGCTCCTCCTCCCTCGTCGTCGCCGTCGTCCGTCGTCGGCGTCTCGTCGTCGTCCCTCCTATTTCGTCGCCGTCGTCGTCGTCGTTGTCGTCGTTGTCGTCTTCCCTCCTCCCTCGTCGTTGTCGTCGTCGGCGTCGCCGTCCTTCCTCCTTCGTCGTTCGCGTCGTCGCCGTCCTCCCTCCTCCCTCGTCGTTGTCGTCGTTGTCGTCGTTGTCGCCGTCGTCGTCCTCCCTCCTTCCTCGTCGTCGTCTTCGTTGGCGACGTCGTCGTCGTCTTCGTCGTCGTCGGCGTCGGCGTCGTCGTCGTCTTCGTAGTCGTCGTCGGCGTCGGCGTCGTCGTCGTCTTCGTAGTCGTCGACGTCGGCGTCGTCGTCGTCGCCGCCGTCGTCGTCGTCGTCGTCGACGTCGGCGTCGTTGTCATCGTCGTCGTCGTCGGTGTCGTCGTTGCCGTCGTCACCGGCGTCGTCATCGTCGTCGTCGTTGTCATCGTCGTCGTCGGCGTCGGCGTCGGCGTCATCGTCGTCGTCGTCGGTGTCGTCGTCGTCGTCGTTGTCGGCGTCGTCGGCGTCGTCGAAGTCGTTGGAGACGTCGTCGGTGTCGTCGTAGTCGTTGTCGGCGGCGTCGTTGTCGTCGTTGTCGTCGTCGTCGTCGTCGGCGTCGCTGTCGTTGCCAAGTGCCATTTGGTACCAACCGTCACGGTCTTAAGAGATTTTGCAAACCAAGTTGCGGGTGGGTGGGTGGGTGGGATGTTTGCGCGAGCAGTGGAGGTGGTCAAGCGCGGTGCAGGGTAGTCAAGTCTCCCCCATAGGACGCACTGTTACAACAGTCGCACTGAGCAGAGTTCCAGAGCCAGCCCCCCCCCTCCTCCCCCCTTTCCGCCCAATGTCGAACCGCCGAATAAAAAAAAAACATTCACTTGTTCTCATCATCGGCGGCGAGCGAGGGGGGAAGTGAGAAGGGGCGGGCTTTCTCAGAAGTTTCCCGGCCTTAGAGAAGTTTTCTAAGCGTTCCCCGAAGACAAATAAAAACGTCTTAGGAGGCGCGAGGGTTTCTGAGAAGTCCCGTCGCCTTCTGAGAAGGCCTTCTCCTTCTCCTTCTCATTTCCCCCCCTCGCTCGCCGCCGACACGCGGCGATGTCGCGCCAGCGACGCCGACGAAGGCGTTCAAGGTTGGATTCTGGGACGTGGAAGCACAGAGGGACACGAAGACGCCAGTGGACCCGACAGAATTCAGCCTTGAACGATCGGGACCGCGATCGATTCAAGGTTGAACGATCGACCCGGTGTCGAAAACCTTTGCGCCCGCCGACGCCGCAGGAACCTACCGTAGTATAAACCCTGACCCTAATACCACAATGAATGCGTGGCCTAATTTAGGCCCACGGTTTTGGATATCCTTAAACATATTGGTGGTTTCGTTTGGCACATTTGGAAAAAAGGGTCCCTTATTACTAATGTTGATGGCCATCTGTTGATGGCCCTCCTAACTAAGGTCCCCTCCCTAAGGATTAGGGGTATTTTTCGAGCTTGTCATTTTCCGTGCCCCCTCACAGGCGGACATCTCCCCGCGCAGCGTCGGCAGCAGCCGGAGCGCGCCCGACGTGGCCTCCCGGAGGCTTCCCCCCCGGACTTCCCCGCGTCGTGGAAACAGAAACACACGCACGGCGGGCCGCCTCTGCCGGGCCCCTGGGGGCCGTCCGAAAACGAAGCGCCGATCCCAGAACGGGAGTTAGACGTTGGTTGGCGGCGAGCGGGGGGGGGACGTTTCGGATTCGAGATTCGAGGTTTTCGGACGTTTTCGAGGGCGAGGGCTTCTGAGAAGCCCCGCCGCCTGAGAAGGCCTTCTCCTCTCATTTCCCCCCCTGGCGGGCCGCTAAGTTGGTCGGTTGTGCAGAGTGGGCCTTCGCCAGAGAGACCGCTGGTGCGCGGGCCACGGCGTCCTGCCGGCCGCCGTGGCTGACGCCTGGATGGCTTGGGTTTGGCCTCCCCAGCGGCCCCTTTCGAGCCTCGCGCCAGAGGTTCTGATGTTCCAACCTACTTTAGCCTGAGTCACCAGAAGGAATGTCGAGCACTGGGAAAGTACCGAAACTGTCGTGTTTTCACGTGTCGGGCTCTGGGGGGCGATCTTCGTTCGACACTGTCTCGATATTCGTCGGGGTGCTCGACATTATTTCTAGGATGTGGTCCCTAAGTGCGATGGGAGCAACATAAATTGTTGTCGCTTCGCGAATCCCCACCAGCCCATCCAGAAACGATGCCCAGAGGAATTGCCTCGATCAGAGAAGTGGGCAGCACACAGAGGAAGCCATTATGAGACATCTTGGGATATCTTGAGCCATCTTGGAGGTCATTTTGGGCTCTCCCAGACGCTCTTGGAGTCATCTTAATCCGTGCCCCCCCCCAAGAGGCCTCCATGTGGCTAAAACCTGTGTAGAATCAATGATTAGGCATTCTCGCCGAGGCCTCTTGGAGCATCTTGGGTGCATCTGGGGGGGCTCTTGGGGCCTCTTGGGGGTCTCTTGGGGGCCTCCGGGGGGCCTCTTGGGGGCCTCTTGGGGCCATTTTGGGGCCATCTTGGGACCTCTTGGGGCTTCCTGGGCGCTTCTTGGGGCCATCTTGGAGGGAGTCGATCAAACAAGAGGGGGGGGTGAATTAGCGTCCCCCCTCGGAAGCCCCTAAAATCGCCTCTTGGACCCCTCTTGGAACGCTCTTGGAGTGCTCTTGGGCGCTCTTGGGGCCGTCTTGGGGCTCTTTTGGGGCTCTCTTGGGGCCCTCTTGGGCCATCTTGGAGCCATCTCCAGGCCTCGGATGGCCATCGGAAGCGAAAAGGCGAGAAAGCAAAAATCATTGATTTTCCTTAGGTTTTGGGACGATTTTGGCCTCTTCGGGGCCTCCTTGGGGAGCTGTTTGGCCACTTGGAGTTATCTTGGGGCCGTCTTTGGGCTTCTTGGAACCATCTTAGGAGCCATCTCGAGCGATCTTGCGCTATCTTGAGCCATCTTGGAGCTCATCTTGGGTTCTCTGAGGCGCTCTTGGAGCCGTCTTGGGCCATCTGGGACGCTCTAACTACCCGCGGCCCCCCCCGTCCAGGTCCAGGGGAGGGGGTAGGGGGAGGGGTAAACCCCTCCCCAAGGGGGAAGAGGGAGGGGTGGAAGAGGATCTGCTCTAGACCACCTACGCCCAGAGGGCTGGTGGGACTAGAGGTCCCTGTTGCCTCATTGGGGTCACTCTTGCGCGCAGCCGGTCTGTGAAGCCAAGCCGTTCCAAAGCACGGCGTCGGATGTGTCGATCGGGGAAGCGTAAGACTGGACTAACTAAGCTGGAGCTCGGGTTTGCAGACGTTTTTTTGACGAGCGCGTCCTGGATTTTGACGGTCCAGTTTCCTTGGGATGTTTGCAGCGGGAGTTCGCGTCAAATTTCAGACTGGGTCTCGTCATTTTTATGATGGCCTTGTCAGGTCAGCCCGAGTCCCCCGTACCCGAGTCTTACGTCTCCCCGACTGGGCCCGAGGCCAGTCCTGCGCACGCTGAGCAGCAGGTCGCTCCCGGAGCTCGCCAGCCCCGCCGGGGGCGGCAGCAGCGTGGGCAAGTTGGTTTGCAGCGGCCTGACCTACGCCATGCGATGATCCCCAGGCTGTGTGTTGGCCCGGTGTGTGTTTATCGCCCAGACCTCCAACGCATCGAGGCATGATCGACCCACGAACCCAGGGAAGGGATTCGGAGCTACGAGACCCAGGAACGCTTCCAGCACCTCAGTTGGGCGACAGGGCAGTGGCAGTGTTGAAGATGTAAATGGTGATGCTACTATGCCATGGAGCTGTGCTGTGCTTCTCTGCGCTGTGCCGCGCCGCACAGTGACGTGCCAGGGGACGCGCCACGGAACGTACCAGAGGACGTGCCAGGGGACGCGCCGCGCGATGTGCCAGATGCACGCGCCACGGAACGTGCCAGGGGGACGCGCCACGGAACGTGCCAGCGGACGTGCCAGTGGACGTGCCAGGGGACGTGCCCAGGGGATGCGCCAGGGAAAGTGCCAGGGATCGCGCGCCAGCGTTGCAATCCCTCGGAAATTGCACTGCGTCGTGGGCGATGGGTAGTGGCAGTGCTGAAGATATGCATGGTGATGCTATTGTCCGAGGCGGAAATTTATACATGACCACCGCCTGGAGGGTCAATTTTCGGGGACCTCGGCAGGCGGTGGATATGGATATATTCAGGCCGTTGGGGGCCAAAATGTATCCATATCCACCGCCCGCTGGGGCACCAGGACGTCGGTTCCCACCCGGTGGATCTGGATAAACCCCCGCCTCGCATATTGTGCCAGGGGCTGTGATGTGCTGCTCTACAGCGTGCCGCGCCGCGCAGTGACGTGCCAGGTGTCGCGCCACTGAACGTGCCAATGGGCCTGCCAGGGGACGCGCCGCGCGATGTGTGCGGCAATGGTGAAGGTATCGGTCGTGATGTACCGTGCCAGAGGTTCTGCTGCGCTGTGCCGTGCTGAAACGAGATGTGTCATGCCGCGATGAATTGCGTTATGTTCTGTAGTGTTTCGGGTCACGCCGCCCTTGGAATCCGAATCCCGACCGGACTGATGTTGGTCTGAGCTGCCCTGAGCTGCCTGAGCGAAGAGCTGGCCCAGGGCTGGTTACAATCGAAACGTATTGTACGCTCAATCAGCTCGAGCTCAAGATCCGATTCAGTTCCGAAGCGGGGCGTGACGACACAGGGCGCAGGGCGCATGGACGCGCCACGGAAGATGCCAGGGGCGAATTGGGGGATGCGCCAGGGGACGTGTGTGGAGACGTGGCACGAGACGCGCCACTGAACGTGCAGGGAACGCGGCAGGGGACCAGTTTCACGCTTGTCCAGCCGTGGGGCGTTAGGAACATATGTGCTTTCAGACTTGTCCCGCTCTGGGGCGTTTGGAACCCACGTGTTTTCACGCCTGTCCTTTTGGGACCTTTGGACCACAGCGTTTCACGCTAGTCGTGCTCTTGGGCTTTAGGAACCCACGTGTTTTCACGCTGTTCCTGCTCTGTGGCGTTTGGAACGCACGTGGTTTCACGCTTGCCCCGCTTGGGGGCGTTAGGAACCCAGTTGGTTTCACGCCTATCCCGCTCTGGGGCGTCAGGAGCCCACGCGTGTTGACGCGTATCCCGCTCTCGGGCGTTGGAAACCCACGTGGTTTTTGACGCCTGTCCCGCCCTGGCGCGTTAGGACGGAACCCACGCGTGTTCACGCTTATCCCGCCCTGGGGCGTTCGGAACCCATGTGTTTCCACGCGTGTCCCGCTCCGGGGCGTTTGGACCAACACGTTTTCACGCTAGTCGTGCTCTGGAGCTTTGGAAGCCCACATGTGTTCATGCTTGCCATGCTCTGTGGCGTTTGGAACGCACGTTGTGTCCTCTCGCGTGTCCTCTCCAATCGACCTCGACTGCAGGCACGCTCGGGCGGGCGGAGGAGAAGAGGCGGCCGCGGAGGAGGAGGGAGGAGGGAGGCCCGAGCCGCCCGCGAGCCCGCGGGGCGGGGTAGGCGCGCGCGGGGGGCGCGCTGGCGCCAGCACGCGTCCTGAGGATCATCGGGCCGTCCGCCTGGCCAACTTCGGCGGGGGGCGCGCCGAGGGCGCCACGCTGCCCAGCCTGCTGGTCAGCGGTGCCCCCGCGCACCAGCCCGCCGACTCCGGCGGCCTGCCGGCCAGGGGCTCGGGCAAGGGCACGAAGATGTTGGCCTCTGCCCCTGGCTGCTGATCGCGGCAGGGCGGGCGAGATCTCGTCCTCCCGCTGCCGAGGGAGCTTGCGCTGGGCTCGTGTCGTGTCCACGCGGCGGCGACCCTGGCGCGGGCGTTGGAGGTTGAGCGGAAGGATCCGGCGATCGAGAGACCGGCGATCGCTCAAGGTTGAACGATCCACACGGTGTCAAAACCAACGCCGTGGTAGTCACGACACAAACCAGTCGTAACTGCTCCGCAGATCCATTCAGTTCGACCCAGGTCTCCAGAGCTTGCTGCCAAGATCCGATCCGACGCACAGGCCTAAGTTGCCCAGCCGCAGTCGGCAAGCGGGTCCCGCCGCCACCTTAGAGTTACTTAGCCGAGCGAGGTGTAGATTGTCGTCAGTGTGACCACCGCTAGCATCATTACGGTAGGTTCGCGTCGTGTCGACCTGCGGCGACCTCGCCGCTGGCGTTCAACGTTGGACGCCGCCGGTGACCCAGAATGGGTCGATGTTGAACGGATTTGACGTTTCACACACGTCCGATCGTTCACGGTTGAGCGATCCCCGCGGTGTCAGGAACCAACGCCGGGGTCGACACGACACGAACTTGCCGTACGCACGGCAAGGCAATCGCGTCTGCATGATTGTTCCTTAGATTAGTCTGCAGCGCCTTGCTGGCGCAGGGCTGCGCTCGCTTCTGCCACTAGCTGCGGTGCGGGCGTTGGTCAAGGACTGTGCCCAGAAGGCTTCAGACCCTGGAGGGGGTTCCTAGTATGATGAGGGCGGCGGTGATGTCCAAGGCGAAGCCTCAATTGGAGTTGCACTGGCTTCCAGACTCTGGATTCCTTATCCAACGATTCGTTATTTAATTCCGTCCCCGTATATCACCGCCCACCGAACCACCCCAACCCAACCCGACGGCCCCGATTTACCCTCCATCTCCAGTGGTGGGGGGTCGGGGAACATTGAAAAAACACGTGTGGAACCCGTACCCCCCCCCAAACCCGAAATTCGGGTCTTCGGGTTAGGTTGGGGGGGCCTGGTAGGTCGTCAATATCACGATGTAGTCGGGCACTGAGCTGTCGATGCATCCGCTCTGCGCGACTTCCTCCCCACAGGCTCCGCGCTGCCAACAAGCCCCGCGGCGACGGGCGGCCTTGCAAAAAGGTAAGGGACCTCTTCGAAGCTATCCTGAAGTCGGGCACGTCCCTCTACAGGAGGAACATTCAAACATTGTCAAAACATATTTTGGGGACGAATGATATTATTTTAGTTGTTCTTCCACTAATGTTTGAATATGTTTGACTGTTCGTCCGAAAATCCACCTGTAGGGGGACACGCCAGACCTAAAGCTATCCCTCCCTCTGAAGAGTCTAGTTCTGACTTCTTACAGTAGGTTCGCGTCGTGATCACTGGCGGCGACCCCGGCGCGGGCGATTGAGGTTGAGCGCCACCCGTGGTCCAGAATCGGTCCATCGCTGAAGGATCCGACGTTTCTGAAACGGCCGATCGTTCAAGTTTGGAAGATGCCCGCGGTGTCAGAATCCAACGCCGAAGTCGGCACGACACGAACTTGCCCTAGAATCGGGGGTGGACAGAACCCCCACCCTAACACTTCGACTAGTGAATTGTCCGTTTTCGGCTCTCGAGAGGGCGCCGCGTCATTTTCCAGGCTTGCGCCCGCCAGGTTTTGGCCCGAGGTTCTTGTCACTAAACCACGTTTTACTGCAGGGTGTTCTGTCCATCCCCGATAGACGCCTCTGGGCCCTTCGAAGAAGCCCCCTGTCTTCAGACGTCGGACGCCGTGATGCTGTTCGCAACGTGGCTGCTTAGAGGCCTGGGCCCCTTCCCAGGGACGGTCTTCCCATCCTGGGTCGTGTTTTGAAGCCCCCCTGGGCCGAGCAAGGGCCCCCCCGGAGGCCGAAAATGGGCAAAGACCTGTCGCGCTATTTTGTCACGACGCGAGGGGGTCAGGGAAAGAGGAGGAGGAGGAGGAGGAGGAGGAGGAGGAGGAGGAGGAGTGGGCACAGTGCAGCGCTACCTGGTGCTCCCGCTTACAGCGTGGGAGCGGGATGTGCAGCCAGCCGCAGCGTGGCGCTTCGCCAACGTTGCCCGCCGTACAGTGCAAGCGCGCGGGCCTGGCCACACGAGCCGTTGGTCGGCGGTGTTGGGAAGCCGGCGCAAGCGGAGGGCGTCTGTGTCGAAACATCGCCATGAAGGATGCGGGGTCTGGAGGTTCGCCGAACAAGAACAAAAACACATGAACATGAACTTTTGGCATTCCGCGCGGATTTCTTGGATCCGCGTTGGCCCCCCCCCCCGGCGGCGCGTCCGGTGCCGCCCCTCGCGGATCCACAGAAAACGCGCGGAGCGCCAAAAGTTTATGTTTATGGCGTTTGTTTCTCTACTGAAGGAAGCGGGGCTTGCAGGTTCGAGGATGTTTTGTTCTCATGTGGGGCCTCCCGGAGCGTTCTCGTCGCCACGGCCGGATTCTCATCGAGATTCTAGTCACCGCGCGCACCAGGACGGGCCCGAGTTTGTGTTGCCCCCGGGAAACGTCCAGGGGCGCCGATAACCAGGCTGAAAACCGCTCATGCCCTCATACCCGACCTTTACCGAGCAGTCCCGGGCGTATGCCACATGGTCCTACCCTGTTCCGTGCCGTCCTCCAGCGCGCTTGCGGAATGGTTCCTTTTGGAAGGCTGCTTGTTAAGAGGGTGGTTCATCTTCCCTCTACGGTCAACGCGCCTAGTAAGGACGCGTGCCTTCATCCAGTACCCTTGTGTCTCGCCCGCCGCTCCATAAATCCCAACTTCGGCCTCCAGTGGTCTTGCGTCCTTGCCATCCGTCCTTCATATACGTTTTGATTGTACACGCGCACGTCGTTCTCGGCACGCGGCACTGCAAGCATGACTCGAGACTTTGGCCCAGTGCTTCGTCGGCATGATCACGCAGGCACTGATGCGCCCAGGAAGTTATGGCTTATCAGTGGTAGGGCGCTGTCAGCGCATGCTCCGCGTGCCCCTGGATGCGACGCTAGCAGCGCTGCGCCAGAGAGTCGTTTCATCAAAAATTATACACACAGTTGACGGCCTTCGGCCCAGCCCGCGACCGTACCTGGGTCGTGGAGGATAGGCCTCTTAGATGTAACTTTGGATCTTTCGGGAAGCTTCCTTGGAAGCATATTTGGATCATCTTGAGGGTCTGCTGGGCCACTGCTGGGGGCCTCTTGGGGCATTTTGGGGCCTCCTGGGGGCCTCTTGGGTGGCCCTTGGGGCCTCTTGGCGTCCTCATGGCGGTCTCGGAGGACATTTTAGGGAACAGGGATCGAAATCTCAGTTCGTGTTCCCCCTCTTGGGCCCCTCTGGGGGTTGTCTTGTGATCCTCTTGGGTCCCTCTTGGGATGTCTTGAGCCGTCTGGGGGGCGATCTTGGGCGCCTTTTGGGCCATCTTGGACGCCCGCGACAAAACAGCATGGCAATGCTACGATCATGCTAACACATTTGTGTCTTGACTCTTCTGGCCTCTTGGGCAGCCCCTCCAGGGCCTCCAAGACGCGCCTGGGAGTGCCCAGGCCTCCGGCCTTTGGGCCCCTTGGGAGAACACATTCAGTACCTGGCCCAGAGAATTCGGAGGACCGTTGGACACTCCAACTCGTGCCTCAGGGGACGGTGGCGGATACGTATCGAAATCGCCAACGGCGAATCACCGTCACCCTCTACCTGTTTCTTGGAATCGCCAAATTACGTGGCCGAACGTTTTGGTGAGAGTTCGGCCAATCTACTGGATCATGTGTTCCTCCAGCCCTTGTGGAAACGCTTCGGAAAACAGGTGGGAGAGAGGTAGAAGAAGAGGAGAAGAGATCTCGTCGGGCTTTCCTGGAGAGACTCTCAGAGGCCTCGTGGGAGGCTCTTGGGCCATCTCGAGCCATCTTGGGCCCATATTGGGCCGTCCTGGATGCACCTTCCGCTGTCTCGAAGACATCCTGAGGTCATCTTAGGTTTTCTGTGGGTTATCGCAGCCGTCGTGGAGACCATCTTGGCCGACTTGGAGCCCATCTTGGGGCCGTCTGGAGCGGGAAGGCCAATGAACTGGGAAATTTACAGCACCGCCTTGAGCGGGAAGACCGACGACCTGGAAAGTTCACGGGTTTCATTCCTGGCTGGCGGGATCGGCCGAATGCCCATTAGAAACCTTAAACAGGACCAACAACGACCTAACGTTTAGCATGCCGTGCACCCTTGTCGCAAGCCAACAGAGGGCGGCTGATCGAAGACGCTTACGGCGAATCACCGCCGCCTCTTGCCTTCTAGAATCGCCCATGTGGCCGAGCGTTGTGGCAAGAGCTCTGCCAAGCTATCGGACCATGTGTTCCCCCTACCGTTGTGGAAACCCTTCGGGGGATACTTGGGGGAGGACTGCGGGGAAGATCAGGAGGAGGCGGAGGAGGAGGTGGAGGAGGAGGAGGAGGAGGAGGAGGAGGAGGAGGAGGAGGAGGAGGGGGAGCCTCCGGGGACACTCTTGGGGCCTCCTGGGAGCCTCTTCTCTTGGAGGCATCTTGGGGGTCTCCTTGGGCCTCTTGGGGCCTTTGGGGGCTTCTCGGGGGCCTCTAGGCTGAAAAGAAGCAAATGCCAACAAATCCCATCAAACAACTCACGGATTTTTGGCCTGGGCCTCTCTCTTGGAGGCCTCTTGGCCCGTCTTGGGATCGGAGGT